GCACGTATGACTGCGATGGAGTGGAGTAATGAAAAAGCTTTTCGAGATTGAATTAAAAAAAATTACTTCAAAAGTATATTTTAATTTACGGTATGAGAAAAAAAACAATTTTTACAGGTCAAAATTCATAGTGTACAGTGGTACGAAACCATAGATATAATACGAAACCCTGGATACGTGTATCTAATTCGCACTTGACCAGTATTTATGATTGGCTTATTAGTTATTATATCATTAAAATATATTTACGTTTGTCTTATTATTTAGCTACCAAAAAAAAAACCCCCTTTTTTTTTTTTTTTTTTTTTTTTTTTTTTTTTTTTTTTATTAAAGGTTACCCACAAAAAAATATTTTTTTTTTTTTTTTTTTTTTAAAAAAACAAACAAAATATTCTGTGAGAGCGTGGTCCTTCTCCGGTCGAAACATTTTACGCCGTTCAACGGCATATTTAACGCCGTTCAACGGCAAATTTAATGCCGTTCAACGGGAAACGACGTTGACCGTTCAAGTGTAGCCACTCATTTTATCGCGTTAAATTTAAGGCAATAATTGTTGCGTTTATGGGCATTGACGTTGCTCGTTAGTGTAGCCGCAGCATCATTGTGCACGGTGAGTGCCACGGGGTTGCACGTATGGCTGCGATGGAGTGCAATAATGAAAAAGCTTTTCGAGATTGAATTAAAAAAATTATTTCAAAAGTACTTTAATTTACGGTATGAAGCTAAGAAAAATAAGCAGAAGAAAAAAAAACAATTTTTGCAGGTCAAAATTCATAGTGTACAGTGATACGAAACCCTGGGTACGTGTATCTAATTCGCACTGGCCAGTATTTATGATTGGCTTATTAGTTATTATTTCATTAAAATATATTTACATTTGTCTTATTATTTAGCTTAAACCACTGGACGTCTTTCAAGTGCAATTTGGGTGCGGGAAAACAAAATAAAACATAAATGGATTTACAGTGTACGTTTCCTGTGCATTTGTAGCATCCACCATCTTCTTTTTCTTTGTATTCTTTTTTTCTGTGTTTATTTTTTTATTTTATAATAAACGCAATATATAACTATATATTATATTTGTTTATTTTTTTATATTATAGAAACACAGCAGCATTAAGCTACTATTTTACGCTGGTATTCTGTGAGAGCGTGGTCCTTCCCCGGTCGAAACATTTTACGCCGTTCAACGGCAAATTTAACGCTGGCAAATTAATGCCGTTCAACGGGAAACGACGTTGACCGTTCAAGTGTGGCCACTCATTTTATCGCGTTAAATTTAAGGCAATAATTGTTGCGTTTATGGTCATTGACGTTGCTCGTTAGTGTAGCCGCAGCATTAGAGAATCGCAAATGAGTACCTACATAATTCAATAGGTTTCTTTCAGTGAGCTCGTGTGGTACCCAAATATCAAGCTTTTTTGTATAGCCAAACATTTTCAAATGGGTCAAAACTTTTTTGTGGTCAATCCTCAATTCTTCGGCTATGTCGTAACTACTAAAATGCCAATCTTACTCTACTTTTTCAAAAATGGCATTGACTTTATCCGTGTGAGATCGACCAGAGCGAGCTGCCTCTTTGATGTCAAAACTTCCTGGAATGAAAACGCTTAAAATCAACTTTGTGCTACTCTTACTGACACTACATTAGGTCCGTAAACGTCACATTTTTTTCCGGCTTGATTCGCATTTTTCCCTTTATTGTAATAAAACTTCAGAATGTGTCTAATTTCTTCGTTAGTAAAGATGTTTTAATAGGTTTTAGATTCACTCATTTTGGTGGACAGAAAAACAACTAAAAATTGCCGAAAAATGTAAAAAAAACACATTCCCATCGTTTTTTAAATTGTTTTAGTTCTTATTTATTTTTTCTTAATGTCTTATATCTATTGATGTTAAAACCACCCAGCTAAAAACAGTACAACTAAAGAGATTTTTCTTCAATTTTATGCAAACAACATAATAAGAAAATTTTTCCACGTCCCATTAGATTATTGATAGGGCACTAACGGTAGTGATTTAAGTGAGTTCTCTGTAAGATTTTTTATTTTAAGAAATACTTACTGGTGATACTCTATACAACATTTCAGTTTTCAGGAGACTGAAAGCCAGTTACCGTACATTGTAAACGTAAAACAAGGACTTGTACCATGGGAGGACAGTCGTGTCGGAGATAGAAGGTAGTTAGAGAAGTAGAAACTAAATGGGATGAATCCCGATGTTTTTAGATCGGTTTAGATACAATCAAAGATCACAATGGGCTAACTGACATTTGAATTTGAACGATTGCCAATGGTCTAGGCTGGTGTATTATTCTTAAATGCTCCACGGTTCGACTTCCATCACACAATCACGAAGAATACAAGACTTTTATTTTATTCCCTATTATAGTATAAAATACTACCTACGCATTTTGATATAAAGATGTTTTAAGCAGTTCTTTGAAGTTTCTATTCAACACATGAATAACTTAAAATATCCCTAGATTATGTTGATTAAACATTGCATAAACGAGTTCTCACGCCTGTTACCCAGAGGGGTAAGCAGAATACGTACTTCCATTTGGCACGATCCTGAACGCTGATCCTCTTCTCTCGCTTCTTTCACCTACATATTTATGCTCTTCGGTTAAGGATACTCTTAATTTGGTCCATCTTCAATATATAGCAAATTTGGTCGATAAACTTTTGTCCAGGGCGTCCCTTGACGACTCTGTCACTCACTTCTTCTGCATAAATTTGGGATTGTCACTTTCCTCATTCACTCTTTCTACATGTCCTAACCACGGAAGTATTTTTAATGGTTGTCAGAACATCTTGGAAACCACTCTTTTATCACACGATTACTTACCCTGTCATTCGGTCAGCCCTAACATACTTCTTAATAACCGCATTTCTACAACATTCATTTTACTTTGATGCTTCTTAAGCCGCGCCCAACTTTCACTACCGTACATTACATACAAGTAAGGACTAACAGCATTGTGAATTGCCATACGTGCTTTTATTAACACACTCTGAGTTCCTACAATAGAAATACAAAAATATGTTTACTTTATAAATTAATGCATCATGACGAAGACAATTTACAGCTCCGTAGTCCGCTTACGAAACTGCGGGCACAGAACAACTACTAGTATGGGCTACAAGTAATTGTTCCGGGTACGGATGCGTCCTTGTGGATCTGCCCCACTAGACAACCACACTAGTAACTACCCCTGTAGTATAAACAAAAAAAATATGTATGTTCTCATTTAATATAATTGAATTTTAAGATATATATGGTATTATGAAAAATTTTCAAAAACTGTAGAACGTGAGTAACCAGGCTTTTTCTGCGTTTTTTGTTAATCTTTTTTTCGTAAAATAAATTTGTTGTTCATAACAAATTTCTACCACTGCCACGGAGGCAATACGTAGGCATTAATGCCTTAGTCCAGTTTAGTAGGTTCTTAATATCTTAATATATAATTAAAGTTTGATTTTTAACCAAGAACTACTAAAAAGTGTTTGTTTGTTTGTCACTGAGCTATGTAAGACTTGTGAAGGTTCATAGAATAAAAAATCCTGAAATTTTTATATTATGTATATTTAAAACAATATTACACAAGCTTGACATAATGAATATTTAGTTCAAATAATTAGATCGTGCAAAAGGCAGTATATTAATGTAGTTTCACATCTATATGACATATGATAACACTGTTACATAAACTTAACAAATAACTCTTACACGATCGCAAAACAAAAATTTACATTCTCTCTTATTATAGACAAAATATGTAATGTTTATTTATATAAAATAAATTGGCGACAAAAATAAACGCTTATATAAGGCACTGTTTTTTCGAATGTAATAACTGAAAATCAATTCCTAAAAATGTACTTTCATTAAAACTAATAGTCCGTAACAAGTGTTTGTACTCATAAACAATAAAAAAACAACAGATAAGTAATTCAACACAAAACGTACTGTCGTACATAATACACAAAAGTTGAATAAATTCTATATACTTACTATGAAACTATAAAATTATCGAAAAGAAATGAAATATCGTTTAGAATAGGTTATGAAAAAAAAACTAATACGGGAGTCGGTAATCTCGTCTCCTACTTCTCCATCCTCAGAGGAAATTTTTTTGTTCAAAAATAATCATTAAAACCGATTTACAATCAAGGATACTATTATTTATACATATAACACATGGTTATTAGTTACATACATACAAACAATACAGTAGAATTGAGAACCTTTCTTTCTGAAGCCATTTGAAGATATTTTGACAAATCTGGTAACATATTTAACTTTAACAGCAAATATTAAGATTGAGTGATTAGTTAAATATAAAAACAGAGGAAGACTGAAATATTTATAAAATAGTTACAAAATCTTGTAGAAATTAAAATTTATAAATGCATACCGGTAGTTATCACAACTGAGAACTTGTTTATACGATATAAACTGCATGCCTAGTGTTACTAATTTGTTTATATTCGTAATTAATTCGAAATTAATACTAATTTTTTATATTTTGTATATATTCGTAGTAAACAAATGTAGAAATACTATACAAAATAAATTATTATTAGAAGATTAGACTATTAAGAAGTATAAACGTATCAATAAAATGTGAAGTATGTATTCAAAACATTTGTATTTACTTTCTATTATCTGTATAAAATAAATACACAATTGTTAGTAGATAGTATCACGTTACATTAATCTCGCCAATATATTGTATTCTCGATTGTACTTAGCAATGCATTTGTATGTTACATATATAGAAGTGAACTAGGTAATATATAACACACGATTATAGTCTCGTTAAAAAGGTTCGCAAAAGCCAAGCTAGCGACGGCAGCTTAGCGAAAGCCTTTCAGGTTCAAGTGGTGCAGATTGAAATAGTAGGCGAAGGCAAACAGCATGGTGCGAAAATCGAATATAAGTAGAAAGAACTCTCTCAGCCACTCTGCTGACGACATTCTTTCTACGACCTCATGTCAATGCGCTGAACGCATAAGCCTTTCGCATTGTGCCAACAAGAATTTCTTCTGTTGCTCGTCGTAAAGGAATATCACTTTGCCGGAACCGGAGCTGGAGAACATTCCGAGAACTTTTTTCTTAGCTGTGGGTATGAAGACTCCTTTGTTAACCGCCGTCGGGACCTCCGGTATCTCTGTCCAGAGGTACGTCCAAACAATCTGTCAAAAATATGTTCAAAGTGTAAATATATAAATAGTCAAGTTTTCACAATCACTTTATGTATCACAGCTACGCCTTCATTTAATAATGTCACTCGACCAGTCTTATTTGTAACCCTGAATTGATTGAAAAAAAAACCTGAATTCGAACAACATTACTTGACTGAGTTTTAAATAATTTTTTAAGTAGATTTTCAGGCATCGAGATAATTAATAGTAATAAAGAAATATAAGTAACAAATTATTCGTTCATTTACTAATTACCGCTTATCGAATTAATAGGATTTGTGGTTTTGTCTTCACAAACTTTTCTCCATTTCATTACCCCTCAAAAACGTGGTAGAGCCACGCTGCAGCTATATTATGGTTGTAGCACGAATGTGTCGGCTTGACAGGAGAAGGACCACGCTCTCACAGCATACCAGCGTAAAATAGCAGCTTAATACTGTTGTGTTTCGTATGGTGAGTGTAGAGATCCAGAGAGCCTTTTTTACTGGAAACCAGGCTTTCCATCTTAGTCTTCAGGGGTGACTACGCATCTGCGTTTTAATTCTTAATCGAGTATAAAATTGAATGTAGATGTCTATGGGCCACAGCATCCACTTACCATCAGATGGACTGTGTGTTCGTTTGACACCCTTATTCTATAAAAAATAGCGACCCGTAGTGTGACGGTATAACTCTGGTATATAATATACTCACTGAAGTGATAATCACAATATGCTTACCTGCCAGCCGCCGAAGACGTGATTCCTTTCGAGATAGAGTAGCCGCTTGTCAGTACACATGACCATCTCTTTGGCCGGTATCACCCACACGTGCGCCTCGTACGTGTCCGTGCTCACATATTTGCCCTGTAACGTGTGCAAAGTTCAGTGCACCTGTATTAGTGTACTTGTAGAAGTGGTTTTATTTCATGTATTAACTATTAGGGGAAAAGACGAAACGAATGTTCCCAATGGGAATCTTAAGATAATGCGTATACTGTCGTTATCGACTGACTACTGGTTTAAGCTGTCATTAAAATCTCTCAAGTTTCACAATGTGTCGCATCGACATATTATAAAACGTAATTTCTTAACTTACTTGACACTGGCAGAAGACAAACTTGTGTCTGAAGTCGAGTCTTTGCTGAATAAAGTCTCGCATTGGGGGCGACTAAATCTAGTCCAGTTTAACCCTCAGAAGGCACAAAGTTGCGCGTTATCCGCTAAAAAGAACCCCTTTGTCGTATGTCCTCAGTTTCAAGGTACTCCCCTTGTTGCCTCAGCCAGTATCGGAATCCTCGGCGTCAACATATCGACTGATGTGCAGTTTCGTGGTCATTTGGAAGAGAAGACCAAATTGGCCTCTAAAAAGCTTGGCGTGCTCAGCAGAGCGGGATAGTATTTCATGCCGGCACACCGCCTGCAATTTTACAAGGCGCAGGTTCGGCCGCACATGGAATACTGTTCACATCTCTGATACGGACTGCTGCGCGAGTTTGCGCATAGGTGGCACACGCAGGATAAGGCAAATAAATGCTGGTAGGCCCGACGACAGGCGTGGCCGTCAGCCCCGAAGGGGGAGAATGACGTTAACTGGGACAAGGAATGGAACAAATATTGTAGGGAGTCAAGAAAGTGCGCGCGGGAAAGAGCAAGGTGCAAGTACCGCGCGCATCTCCCGAGATTCGGCCCGTATGACCGAGGGTCGGTGGGGCCATGGGAGGTGGTGGGTTGTTCACATCTCTGGGCTGGGGCGCCCCAGTGCCAGCTCATTCCACTTGACCGCATACAGTACAAAGCTGCTCGAATCTTCACCGACCGAGTGCTTTCCGATCCGCTCGATTCACTGGCACTGCGAAGAGATGTTGCATCTCTTTGCGTATTTTATCGCATCTATCACGGGGAGAGCTCTGAGGAATTGTTCGGATTAATCACAGCAGCCAAATTTCATGAACACACTAAGCGGCAAACCTCCCGATACCATCCACACCATCTGAATGCTTGGCGGTCCACCATTGTACGTTTCACTAGGAGTTTTGTTCCGCGTACGATCTCTCTGTAAAATAGTTTATAAACCAGCGATTTTTCCGGACCGATACGACCTGGGGACCTTCAAGAAAAGAGCTTACTCCTTCCTAAAGAACCGGCAACGCACCTGCAATTCATCTGGAGTTGCGGATGTTCATGGGCGGTGGTAGTCTCTTAACATCAGGTGAACCATATGCTCGTTTGCCCCTTCTATAAAAAAATAAAAAAGTACAACCGTACGAGTGCCGCGCGCCGCTTCGTCACCTCCTCCGACAGGTCCGCGCCCTGTGCGCCGCACGTCACAACACGTTACCTTCTCGAGGTCGCAGAGCATCTTGTAGCCCTCGGCCTGCAGGCGCGAGTAGGGGCGGACGCCGGCATCGGGCGGCAGGTAGCGCGCCGCGCGCCGCTTCGTCACCTCCTCCGACAGGTCCGCGCCCTGTGCGCCGCACGTCACAACACGTTACCTTCTCGAGGTCGCAGAGCATCTTGTAGCCCTCGGCCTGCAGGCGCGAGTTGAGGCGGACGCCGGCATCGGGCGGCAGGTAGCGCGCCGCGCGCCGCGCGCCGCTTCGTCACCTCCTCCGACAGGTCCGTGCCCTGTGCGCCGCACGTCACAACACGTTACCTTCTCGAGGTCGGAGAGCATCTTGTAGCCCTCGGCCTGCAGGCGCGAGTAGGGGCGCACGCCGGCGTCGGGCGGCAGGTAGCGCGCCGCGCGCCGCTTCGTCACCTCCTCCGACAGGCCCGCGCCCTGTGCGCCGCACGTCACAACACGTTACCTTCTCGAGGTCGAAGAGCATCTTGTAGCCCTCGGCCTGCAAGCGTAAGTAGGGGCGGACGCCGGCATCGGGCGGCAGGTAGCGCGCTGCGCGCCGCTTCGTCACCTCCTCCGACAGGTCCGTGCCCTGTGCGCCGCACGTCACAACACGTTACCTTCTCGAGGTCGGAGAGCATCTTGTAGCCCTCGGCCTGCAAGCGCGAGTAGGGGCGGACGCCGGCATCGGGCGGCAGGTAGCGCGCTGCGCGCCGCTTCGTCACCTCCTCCGACAGGTCCGTGCCCTGTGCACCGCACGTCACAACACGTTACCTTCTCGAGGTCGGAGAGCATCTTGTAGCCCTCGGTCTGCAGGCGCGAGTAGGGGCGCACGCCGGCGTCGGGCGGCAGGTAGCGCGCCGCGCGCCGCTTCGTCACCTCCTCCGACAGGTCCGCGCCCTGTGCGCCGCACGTCACAACACGTTACCTTCTCGAGGTCGGAGAGCATCTTGTAGCCCTCGGCCTGCAGGCGCGAGTAGGGGCGCACGCCGGCGTCGGGCGGCAGGTAGCGCGCCGCGCGCCGCTGCGTCACCTCCTCCGACAGGTCCGTGCCCTGTGCGCCGCACGTCACAACACGTTACCTTCTCGAGGTCGGAGAGCATCTTGTAGCCCTCGGCCTGCAGGCGCGAGTAGGGGCGCACGCCGGCGTCGGGCGGCAGGTAGCGCGCCGCGCGCCGCTTCGTCACCTCCTCCGACAGGTCCGCGCCCTGTGCACCGCACGTCACAACACGTTACCTTCTCGAGGTCGGAGAGCATCTTGTAGCCCTCGGCCTGCAGGCGCGAGTAGGGGCGCACGCCGGCGTCGGGCGGCAGGTAGCGCGCCGCGCGCCGCTTCGTCACCTCCTCCGACAGGTCCGCCGCCCTTCACACGTATAACAACGACCAACACGTCACACTTTATTATTATTTCTGATCTACATTTTTATAATTACCTAAAAAACCACAAAACAATACTGGAGACATCATACCTATGTCTCCAGTATTGTGGAAACGTGTCATGCGGACAAAAAGGGGAAGAGTTATTTAATTATTTAAAATGTATAACACAATTTAAAAGAGAGTTAAAGAGAGTTACGCCCCAATTTTACTTAAAAATGTTAACATTATCTGTACGTTACTCCGAAAATGCTGCTGATGATGATATAAATAAAATATGCTGCTTGATAGAAAATGGAAAATATATTTGAAAACTGCTAATAGCTAAGGATGAGTGCACGAACGCACTGTGTGGCGATGTTATATGAACTGATTCGATGTACAATAAAAATAAGTGTATGAGTTGAACAGTGGCGAAGCTAGGGCTCCAAACTAGGGCAAGCCCAAGATGTGGTTTTATTGTTTTTAGCAGTTTAATAAAAATACACCAATCTTGAGCTGTCTCTGGTCTTTAGTTTCATATTCAGTGCTGACAAGGACGTGTTTAACAAAGCACACAGAAAGCATACTACCGCTAGATAGATTGTATGACATAATATGCAATTGCACACCTTCGGTGGTTTTGAAAAGAGCCGTTTGGGTTTGCTTGAGATATATACAAACAATACAATACATGAACAAAAGAAAAGCATGAACAAAGTACAAACAAACTATGTACAAAGTTAAAAAAGGGACGCCTGGCAGATGTGAAACCTCGAAATTATATTTTGTTTAAGTTATAGGCATAAAAGTACAGATTACGACAGGAATTAGATAGTTATAATGAGAAGATAAAGCTTTGCTAATTTTTTGCCATAAAATAATGACTATTTATTATAGTTATAATTATTCATTTTCAATTCATAATAAACCGTACAAAATGATATTTTTAAACTCATATATCATATATATCACTATAAATTAGCCGATAGCGTATTTGTGCCATCTAGCGTAATCTTTAGGTACCATCGTGAGAATCAACCAATTTTCGTTCGATAAAATGACTTTACCTATAGAATTAAGTAGATGGCGCCATTAAAATTTTATATACTGAAAAGTAGACAGCGAAACCTAACTGGAAATATCTAAAGGGAGTACTATTCTTTAAAAACCTCGATACATTCTTCTGTATTCTTTTGATTTATTTAATTAAAATTTGGGCTTCACGTTAAAAAAAAGATTGTATCACTTATTTCCTCTAAAATTAAACCTAGCTCTCATACTTTATGCTGCTGTTTAAATTGATATTTTTAATTCGTATGGTAATATAAATATTGAGTTATTAAACCTTTAAATACGCCTAACTTAATTAAACATTAATACTAAAGAGTCCTGTACCTATATTTAAAGTATGAAGAAATGTTTATTGAATATTAAATTTCATTTTTAAAGATTTTTACCTTTTCCTCGCCGATTAGCACTTCAACACACTTATATTCATCACAATGAACACTATTATCCTCCCATTTTAACTGTGAATCTTCGAAAAAGCATAAATTTTTAACAAACACACCAAAAACAAACATAAACATTGAAATGTTAAGTGAACTTGCATACGAGGGGCCCGCAACCACTTCGCTAGTCGCTAACGCGCTCCTAAACAACTTCATGGCAAAGCCAGGCTTGTTGGCTCAATAGTAATTGCTATATAAACATTTCGAAGTTATATTTCATTATAGAATATTTTGCCATAGGTTAGAAAGAAAGCGATCGTCTTCTCGAAAGCCCCGTAAAAAGCCCACGCGAGCGAGGGAGACAACTAATCGTTCTATTAAAACTCACTTTATGACAGCAGCAGTATCGCCACAGAGTACTTTTGCATAAACGTATCGCTAAAGTGAGTGATAGACGGGCGAGCAAGTACGCGTACTTATGGCTCGACGACCTTTTCGCTCGTGTGTCACCGTAAGTACGCGTACTTTAAAACCGCCGAGTAAGTTCGTCGGCGATCCAACCGGTTTGAAATCTTACTCGTAGCTCGTCTTGGCTCATACGTGTGGCAGCACTGCGAGCCGCGAGCCGCCATTTTGTTTCGCCAGTCCGTGGACGCGCACGCTTGTTTAAATTGCAATTTTTGTTAATTTTGATTCAGAAATTTCTCAAAATGTGTGATTTTCGAACTTATTCGCATGAACTGCTAACCGAATTTATAGAAGCTTTCCGAAATAACCCTTGTCTTTGGAAAATTAGAAGCAACGACTACAAAGACAAAAATTTGAAGCTTCAAGCATACAATAATTTATTAGAAATTATACGGAAGGTAGAAAGAGATGCTACGATTGAGAACGTCAAGAAAAAAAATAATTCATTAAGGGCTGGATTCCGAAAAGAACATAAAAAAGTGCAAGATAGTAAGAAGACAGGTTCAGGAACTGACCAGGTATACGTGGCAAAATTATGGTATTACAGTCAGCTTGAATTTCTCAAAGATCAAGGCCAAGGTAAGTTTAATTATTTATTAAAGAATTTCTCTATACACTATTATATTATAAGTGCGTATTCTTTGTTATGCCTGTGACTAAATTAGGTAGGTACCTAAAATAGAGTACCTATTATAGCACTTTGTTTCATTACAATAATGACATTGTGATGTTGAACATTAATTCCAAAAGTAAATTTAGAGGGTTTTTATTTAATTACAGGTGAACAATCAACTGACAATATAGACAGCAGCGAACAGGAGACAGCTAATGATAATGAAAATACATTTGATGCTGAACATAGTGAAAATGATACCCAGGTAAAAATACTATTATTATATCATTCTTTGTTGCCATGACACTGCACCACTAGTATTAAAGTAGGTTTTATACTTTTCTCTGATAATTTTTGCATTTTGAGTGGGGTTACGACTATGTGTTTGTTGTAGTGACTGTAATTCTCCATTTTGTGGTCTCAGTCCCAATTCAATAGTTCCATTTTCGTGATTTTCACTATCTAAGTGCTGATGTGGACTGTAAGCTTGTCTTAATTTTTTCCTTAAAAAATTGTGCAATACACAACATGCCAAAACTATTTTGTTAATATTGTGCACACTGGTATTTATAGGCGATCGAAAAATGTGGAATCTTGCCGCCAGAATTCCAAAAACATTTTCTAAAATTCTTCTAGCCCTGCATACTCTATAATTGTATATCCTCTTACTTGAGCTAGCCTGTGATTGCCTTTGTGGGTACGGTTTCATAAAATCTGTCCTCAAAGGAAAAGCCTCGTCGCCAATAAATACATAAGGCAATTCTTCTGAATGACCGCTTGGTTTTCTGGGGCTAGGAAGATTTAAGCGCTTGGAATTCAATCTTTGAAAGAATGTAGTTTTTTGTAATACACCTCCATCAGAAATACGTCCATTTGTTCCAATATCTACATAAATAAATTCATAATTTGCATTTGCAATTCCCATAAGTACAATACTGTGATACCCTTTATAATTAAAAACATGTGAGCCGGCTCCGGCAGGAGGGACTATAGCTACATGTTTCCCATCGACGGCTCCTAAACAATTTGGAAATTGCCATGTACGCTCAAACTCTTCAGCAATTGCTAGCCATTCTTCTTCTGAACTCGGGAACTGTAACAAAAAAAACCCATAATTCAGTATAAATGATATCATTTTTATTTACAGAGTACTGTTACGAGCTTGAGGTTCGTGACAATAAAAATTGCCGATAAAATTACCTAAATTAACACTTTAATTTACTTTACACAAATTAAAGTTAAAAACACTAATATAAACACACTAATTCACTTTATTCCGCTCCGAAGCTTCGCTTGTTTCGCCAAATCAACACTACTAAAACCCAAATCGACCAAGTGAACAATCAGGTTGATTACGTGGTGGCTGACGTGAACAAAACGCTGGACGACCTCAAACTGGGTGATGGAACTACAGCTCCCGTAGTAGCTACTACACCTTCGCTACGTGGGTTCAAAGTGCCACCGTTCGACGGGACTTCTTCCTGGTCAGCCTACAAAATCCAGTTCGAGGCTGTTATGAAGGCGAACGGCTGGAATAAAAATCGGGCCATGACTGCTCTCACACTAGGCCTGCGTGACCAGGCCTTAACAGTTCTGGAAGCTCTCGGTGAGGAAGTGACTTATGAGCAACTCCTTGAGGCATTGGAGGCGAGATATGGCGACGCTCACCTGGAACACGTCTTTCGTGCGCAGCTTAAAGATCGTGTGCAGCGCATCAACGAAAACCTGCAGCAGTGGGCTCTAGAAGTGAAGCTGGTGCGAAAAGCATACCGGTCTGTACCTGCGCTCATTGAAGGGAACCTGGTGCAGACATTCATCGACGGCATTCGTGACCTGGAAGTCAGAGCTGCTGTGAGGCTCGGGTACCACGAGACACTTAAGGACGCCTTGGCCCATGCACTGGAAGTGGAAGCCGTGCGGCAGGATCATCGTTCCCATCGCGTCAGGGAGGTTGCAGCAGCTACAGTTCGCTACCGCAACAAAGGATACAGCCCTAGATGCTATGGCTGTGGGGAAAAGGGCCATCTTCGATCCAGCTGCCCTAAGCGAACCCTAGAAAGGGAAGGTGCACGATCTCAGGAGGGTAGTGCGGCCACCAGCACCGCCCAGCAGCAGCAGGGAAACGAGTAGAGTTGAACTCGGCGACACAAGCGAAGCTTCGGAGCGGAATTAAGTGAATTAGTGTGTTTAATTATTAGTGTTTCTAGTTTTAATTTGTGTAAAGTAAATTAAAGTGTTAATTTAGGTAATTTTATCGGCAATTTTTATTGTCACGAACCTCAAGCTCGTAACAGTACCATTTGCAACGTGTCATCCACCTGTGACACCTGCAACATCTGTTGCTTCATCTGCACGTCGTAAGCGACACGGCAATGCCGCCATTGAAGACACAATATCGTTAATAGGTAAAAGATTACAAAACCCAGATAATGAATATGATGCTATAGGAAAAAATGTCGCAATTAAACTCCGCAACATGACTGCTATTCAACAAGGCATAGCTGAAAAGCTCATCAATGAAGTTATTTTTTTGGGACGGTTTGAAAAATTAACATTCAATACAAGTATACATAATCCAGTTCCAGTCCAGGTAACCCCAAAGACCATTGATACACATGCCAGCTGTTCCAGTCCAGCTGCAAGAAACACAAGTATTTAACTTGACACAAGACTCGCAAACTATTAGTATCCCGGACACCCTGGTTGAATATTTAAACTTTAATAATAATAACTAAAAATAAATAAAATAGTACGTTACATTTGTATATGTTCAAGAGTAAATTTATTTGTTAAGCAATAATGTTAATGTGCCATTGCAAAATAAAGTCTGATTATTTGTACTGAGTTATTTTATTTATAAAGTATGTAATAAATGATACATACCTTCAAATATGTTTTCAGTGCAGAGTAGATTGCGTCACATGTCTCAGGAATTATGTACCCCAATGACTGTCTTGATATCGCTGACGAATACATTACATCTTTATATGTTTCACCAGTTATCAAAAATCGTAATGTTGCACTTAAACGTTCATGCGGTGAAACAGCTTCTCTCATGCAAGTATCCTGTTTAGCTATAATTGGTGTGACTGAACAAAAGTTCTTCATACACAGGCTCAGGCATTCTGAAATAATTCTGGAAATCTTCCTTCTCTTCACGTAACTCTCTTACTAAATTCGCATGTGATAAACGCTCTCTTTTTTGTAAGCCAGTTCTTAACCCACACTTTTCGCTATTGTTTTTAGTTTTTGAAATGTATTACGATATAATTCCTAAATAACACAAAGCTTCTTCAGTGGACGATATAGCGATAAGGTATCAGTAAGTTGGCGCGTGTGTCGCCGACGTCGAGCCAAGTAAGTTCGCGATCTTAAAAACTGCCTACTTTAAGTTCGTACGTCTATCACCCACTTAAGGCAATACGAGGTCATCGGTCGACATGTATCGAACAGTGGAGTGCGCGGAAAATTTGAAATAGCTTGAAACATTTTACGAGTTATTTTATTAGTTGATATTATTGATTGATTCAGTTTTAATAAGGCAAGCTCGGCTTTTCGGCTTTAATGGAAGCTTCGCCACTGCAGGTGAAAATGCTGATCGGGCGCTATGTGCGGTTGCACCGTACATGCTCCCGGGCGAAAAGATGGGCGAGATGACAATGAGATGAGCTAAACTAAAACCTAGATGATACCGACATAACACATATCGGCTAATTTACAAGATGGACCGTACATTATCTTTTTAGATACATATTACTTCTTTACTCTCATAAATTGCTATGTATGTAAAATATTGGACATATGTGTATGTATGTTCCAATGAAAACAACTAAATAGCAGGAAAATGAATCTACGCACCGTTCACATTACGGAGATTATGCGTGCAAAGTTTAATCGAAATCAAATAATTAGTCTTAGAGGAAGTAGCAGTAAAAATTGCATCGAAACCTACGCTAATCCTAATAAATTACACGTTTACACGAACAGCATGCCATATTTCATTATAATTACATATTAATTATAATAATAATATAACAATTATTTGAAGGCTTACACTAAAACACTGGCACTACCCAGCCGTTATTAAAACACAACATTCTCTTCACTTCTTCTCTTTGTAGGAACTGACTAGCGTTAAGAACTCGAATGACCGACTCATGGTGGAAAATCCATACAAGAGTTAATGGATCCAAAGACCGAAAAGCAGTAATTAATGCAAGAACACTTGCTCTATACTAATCCGCTTGCCCAACGTTATGAATATGGCCAACTGTTGCATGCCCGCTGGCGCAAAATACTTCTCATCATTGAACGTTAACAGGTTGATAAAAAAAATATTTTTTCACCAGCCTTCCTCAACTTACAACTGAATAGCCTTTCAAATATGTGACAAACGGCACTTTCCAGCCGATTCCGAATGGGTTGTAATTTCAAAAGTTAAATAAAAAATATTGCAAAATTCTTACTTTAGAACCATACATAATTATGAAACTATTACAAAATAATGAAGTCTAAAAAACACTTTTACAGTTTAAGCATACTAGTTTACATATTCATACGTGTTAGTTTGTACAGAAAACCGAAGAGTACAATTTGCCACTTTGCCTTGAGTATATGAACTATGAGAAAGCCATTGATTCCGTCGAAATTTTAGCGGTCATATGAAATTAAAAATGCAACGTGAAATCTTCAGCGATAAACATTAACATTTAAAAAAAATATACGTGTGTACTCACGTGTGTGCTGTGCCCGTTTGGGTTGCTGTCTCTCTGACAATAACTTCGTTGACGCGATTTACTCAATTAATTAATTTGCTTGTTTGGCGCCGACTCAAAATTACTTAAGTATACCTACTCACATTAGTTTAAGAACTTAGTAGTTAAGGTAAAAGAAAAAGGTTATTATTTTTTGCTTTTCGGTTTTTTTCGGCGGTTTGTTTTGTTATTTTTTTTATTTCTAATGTATTTAATATTTTCAGTAAGACACTACACACCAGAAGTGTCCAAGAATAGGTTTCTTTGAAAATGTCTCCAGGCGCCAACTTATAGATTGCGCATATCGTTTGCCTTTGCAAAATGAATATTGTTTCACCATAGTAATACACTATACAAAATGATACCGTGGAAGCAGACGAAGTAGACTAATTTAGCGGTTTTTCATCACTCAGAGCTAAAGGTTAAATTGGCGAGCGTTTAAACCTATAAATATATAAGACCCGAGTTCATAGGGCATGCTAAAATAAAACAATTTTTTGTATGACATTTAAGCATAGGAGTAAAATACTTTTTACTCATTTATTTGACACCGACTATTTGTACATCGTCTAATAGGCTTTATGAATAAGAAACTAATACATATTAAAATGGAAAACTTACTGCTTTCTAAACTAACTTACTTAAAAAACACCAACCATTTTTAATTGCTTTCGTAAATATTTATTTCTATAAGAAACTGGCGGAAATTACCTAACACAATTGGAGCGCGCCCGCCGTCATTTTTACGCCATAATTTACTATGACTATTGAAAAGGCCCAAGAATTATTTGGACTTTTAGTTACATACTATCTATTGTGAGTGAAGAAGCATATTCACAAGCAGTTTTTAATTGAGTTGATCGAATGAAATAAGGACCAGACGTTAGGTCAGCAGACAAACGCGATCACTCAATAAAATGTTCGAGAAGTTAAAACACTTATTCGAGAGAGATAAAAATAACCTCGAACTAAGCAACTGTCAGACTTGAATCAAAAAAAGTATGCCTTTTAATCATTGTAATAAGAGTATTATTACAGTAAAAGTAAAAAAAAAACAAAGCAAACCGAGATGTATGCAGCTAAATAAAAGCGCAAATAAGGAGGTGCAACAAGAAACGCGATTATTTACCTCTTGACGGCGTCGAACGAGCCAGACGCGAAGTCCACGACGCCAGCGGTGGGCCGCGCCACCAGCCCCACGGCGCCCATGCCCAGCCCCTTGAAGAAGCCCTCTACTCCGTGATCACGCGCGCCCTCAAAAGGCTTTGTGAACACCCCGGTTACGCCGTCTACTAAGCCCTGAATTTCAACACCACGTATGGTCAACAATAGTTTTAGAAAAGCACATAACAGTAGCAATATAAATTCTCTTAAAAAGGAGGAAATAATTTATAATGTTATTAAAAATACGATGTAAACATTACAGCAAAATCATTGCATACCTACCAAATTCAAATTGAAATTGTTTATTGCATGTCACATTACAAATTTAAGACGGTACAATTTTAATAGGTATACATGTGACGCCCTGCAAGGGCATAGCAACACTAGAGGCCGTTTCTCAACTATTTTCGTATTATTTATTTTTTAAACATAAATTTTAAAATATCATATCATCAACATTCAATATTATTTTATATAAATTAATTTAATTTGAAATATAATGTACCTAGTCGAAGTATTCTTACTTTGTCATTATTTATCGTCAAAAAATTCATTTCAATTATAATAACATTTATTAATAAAAAGTTTTTTAATTGTTTATTAAATGGCACAGGATTTTTATGTAATTCGGCAAATGATTATAAATCTTTATTGACATAACGTGAGGGCTGTTTGAAACTAATTTTAATTTGGAGAAGGGTAACTTAAGCTTATATAAATTTCTATTACCTATTTCTTTTAGTTTTTAATAGGTGAGTAGAGTTTAGGGTGTTTCCTAACGAATTTACAAGACTCGAGGATGTAGACGTGTTAAAATTTTATTTTTAATGAAGTGGGGTTTCAGGATTCCATTTTGTCTAAATGTATTAATATTCGTAGACACTTCTTTTGTAATATAAATAATTTGTTTATATCACAAGAGTTTCCCCACAAGATGATGCCATAGGAGAGTACGGAATGAGCATGTGCATAGTAAGTCGCAAGGGCAGTTCTAAAATCTGTCACACGTTTAAGGTGTTGCAGAGCATTAATAAATGAGGATATTTTTTTTTTTTGCAACTTTTTGTATGTGCTGTTTCCAACTCAAATGTGTAATCCAGGTCTATTCCTAAAAAAGTGTCATAGTTAACAGTTTTTAGTTTTGTGTTTTTATAGTTAAAAGATATTTGTAAAACAGTTTTTTGGTAGGGCTTAAATTGAATAATTTTAGTTTTATTAAGGTTAAGTTGTAAATTATAAATACCATAACGAGTCCCTTTCCGCTTCTCGCAAGTCCTTCTTGCAAATTTGCAGGTGGTTTGTTGATGTTATCTCTTCTACGGCGTTGGTAATCCTACAGAAATAAATAACCATTAGCTATATTTAAAAAATAATTAAGGTTGGAAAAGATTAAGTCGCAGAATATAATAAATTAAGCACACAAAAACTAAGACTAGTTTTAAAAAATTAATTACAGACTATAAGAAAAATATATACGGTAGTTTTAAAGGAAAATCACTCTTTAACTTTGATAGAGAAAATTCAAATTTAAGTTTGTAAAATTTTAAGTTTTGCCTCCTCTTGCTACATTCATCTGGGCTATTAATTAACTCCATAAACCTGTGGCATTAGATACCATACACATTTAAGGTCTTTAATGTTAGTAATTATAGGATTTCTTTGATCAATTTCAAGTAAACATGATGTTTTATTTGCGTGTGTGAGAATAGATGCAGGTTTTCAAGTATGAAAGCTCAGTTAGTAGACTTATTGATCCACCAATTGTCTCGGTTGGCAACCGTTGTCTTTTAAAAGAACGGCGACCGGTATATTATAATAATATCTAGTTGATTCAATAAGGTTCTGTTGTAGCTGTTGGTTTGGATAATTATAGTCAACCAAATCTAAGAAATACCTTTTGACGTTTCACATTAATCATTGCGCATGAACTTACTTTGCACAAGCGTACTCACGCGATTTAAAATAACCTTTTACGTAAGTCCGAAGAATTATAAAGTTATCTTATTTCATTACATAGTGTAGTTTTTATCACTAATTTAAATTTGCATCTTTCAAACAAAGCAAGATATTAAAAAAATATCCAATATCACATTTTTTACTTGACGTCGTTTTATATGTCGCTATGTACCTTATCGTAGTGTATGTATGATTAAAATTCATTGTTATGTGAATAATCGGCAAAAATATTCAAATAATCGGTAAAAATGTTCAAATAATCGAATCGTTATTTTTTAATGTATGATTTGTTTAACAAAATTTTTATTTTTAAAATTACTTAATTTCATGAATCATGAATAAAACAAGTTTGTTTTTCTACTTTGTCAACGTAAATTTGTGTAAGCATAAAAACTCTATACAAGGCCGCGCTGAAAAAACCACTACGTAATTTCATCTCCCGCCATTTCGGGAGTTTACTGTGCGTAATTTTATGATTTTGTGTTTGGCTTTTTGTTTGGACAAAAAAAACATAAATATAAACACTCACGCCTGTCACCCAGAGGGGTAGGCAGAGACTACAGACTTCCATTTAGCACGATCCTGACACACCTCTCTCGCCTCTTCCACATCCATATACCTACGCATACATGCTCGTCGGTTAAGGGTACTCTTAATTTGGCCCATTTTTAGTATATCGCCAATTTGGTCGACAAACTTCCGCCTAGGACGTCCATTTCCGACTCTTCCATTCACTTCTGCAACATATATTTGCTTTGTCAGTTTTTCCGCATTCATTCTTTCTACGAGGTATCTACAAAGATTATCAAGATATGTAATAAACAATTAGGTGCTGTTTTGGCGTTTCTGATAAATCAGTCAATGGTAACTAGGATATTTCCAGACAAATTAAAATTCTCCTTGGTGAAGCCATTATTTAAAACGGGTAAAAAACACTCGTAAATAACTACAGGCCCATTACGCTGGTTCCTATCCTATCCAAAGTGTATGAGAAGGTTATACATGAAAAACTTACATCGTTTTTTGATAAATATCAGGTACTCCAAAACAATCAATATGGATTTCGGAAAAGTAAATCCACTACACATGCGGTATATAACTTAGTGAATGAAACCCTTACACAATTAAACGCCAAACAATATACGACGGCGCTCTTCTTTGATATGTCGAAAGCTTTCGATTTTGTTTCTCATGATCAACTTCTAGCAAAGTTGGAGCACTACGGCGTTAGAGGCACTGCTTTGAACTTGATCAAAATATACTTACAGAATAGAATGCAATCAGTCGAAATCGCAAAACTTGACTCTAACCATGTAGCTGAAAATCACAGATCTGAGTTTAGGAAAAACGAGTTTGGCGTTCCACAAGGAAGTATCCTGGGACCTCTTCTATTCCTGATCTATATTAATAATCTCCCAAATATGACCAAGTATCGATGTATCCTATTCGCTGATGATATATCTGTAATAGTGACAACTGATAAAAAAAACTAACATTAAATGACCACAAAAATGACATCAGTGAAACTATAATTCAAATAATTAATTGGCTTAGAAATAATAATTTAATTATTAATATTGACAAAACGAATTTAATTAACTTTAATAATATACAAAATTTGACATTGAATATAAATTATGAAGGACAAATACTTAAAAATACAATAACAACGAAATTCTTGGGTATAGAAATTGACCAAAAACTAGATTGGAAACTACAAGTCGAAAAAGTGTGCAATAAAATCAATCGTTTCGCGTTTACAATTTATAAATTAACAAAAATAGCAGGATAGAGAACAGCCCTTACTGCGTACTTTGCTTACGTTGAATCAGTCCTGCGATACGGACTCATTATATGGGGTAATAGCAGAGATATAAAAAAAGGCGTTCATTGCACAAAAAAAGTGTGTTAGAGCTATATGTGGTACTGTACCTAACGAGCCATGTCAGCCTTTGTTTAAATCCTTGAAAATTTTAACACTTCCTTGTCTATATATTTTTGAAACGGCGAAATTTGTAAAAAATAATATGTATTATTTCACACAAGCCAAAGACTTTTACAAACGAGGCACTAGAAATAGGAATAGGTTGATTTCCACCATAATACCCAAGAGCGCGAGATTCCATAATAATTGCTATTGGATGTGTATGACAGTATATAATAAGATACCACAAGAAATTCAAGACCTACCTGTCATTAAATTTAAAAGAGAGCTATACAGATGGCTCAGTGAAAAGGCTTTTTATACTATAGAGGAATATTTGAACTGCGATATGTGATAGCGGCTGGACTGATATGGATTTGCTGGACCAATTGTAAAATATTTATTAAGTACCTATTACCTATTTATTGATTAATTGTTGACATTTTATTATTTTAGACATTTTACTCATAAATATTACTATCGCATTATTTTATATTTGTAAGATTTGCATGCCATAAATAATGGCTGATTAAGCGGATGCTTAATTAATACCACCATCTTCAGTGTACCTTAACCAAAAGCAAATAAATATTTCAAATAAATATTTCATTTCATTTCATGACCAAACCACCGAAGCATTCTTTTCTTAATCCTGGTCATCATCTTGCAAACCACACTCTTCTTTTATCACACAGTTTCTCGCCCTGTCACTCAGATTCAGCCCTAACATACTCCTTAGCGACCGCATTTCTACTGCATTTATTCTACTCTTGTGCTTCTTCTGCCACACCCAACTTTCACTACCATATGTTAAAGAAGAGACTAATACAGCATTGTGAATTGCCATACGTGCCTTTTTTGACACATTCTGACTTTTCACAATAGAGTGTAGAGCCCCATTTACTTTATTTCCCGCATTCACTCGTCGTTCAATATCCTTATCATATCGCCCATCCCTGCTGAATACACATCCCAAATATACGAACTCATCCACTTGCTCAATTAACTCTCCTTCTATTCTTATTTCACATACCGTTTTGCTTTCTTCTCTTTCAAAAACCATCACTTTCGTCTTACTTGCGTTCACTTTCATTCCCCTTTCTTTTAATGACCATCACTTGCAACTCGGCCGCCGACGACGCAAGTATGACTTGATCATCGGCGTACAAAAGGCATTTGATGGTTAACTCACCCATTCTTAACCCGCATTCTTCAACTTTCAAATTTTCCAAACAACTGTCCATAAATAGTTTGAACAGCCACGGGGAAGCTATACAGCCCTGTCTGACACCTTTATGGATGCCAAACCAGTCCGAGTAGACCCCGTTAATTCTAACACAAGCACTCGAGTCCCTATACAGAGGGAATCATCATCTTCATCATTCCCTTTGGACAAAAGTGGTATAAAAACAATAAAATTGATTATAGATGACTTTGAAACACATTAATTTTGACCGCATTATTGAAAATCAAATAATAATTAATCTAATCAACGACAGCCCAACTAGTTGTACTGAAAGTGATTGAATAAATTTATTTTTAATCTAGTTTCAATCTTAAATTTTAATAAATGTGCCTCCAGAAATGAGCAGTAACAACAAATACGAAGAAACTGATAAATCTTGTGTTTTAAATTATCCGTTTTTAATTTATTCTGGTATTATTCAAACCAAACTGTAAATGATTACCAACTCTAAATAATCGTTATCGATTTTTTTGAAAATCGAATATATTACGTTCCCATTTTTTTGGTTGCATGCTTGGTGCAATAAGTCTGACAGCTGTCAAAATGTATTTCTTAGATTTGGTTGACTATAATTAATTTATATTTGGTGTTATCTTGTATTTCCTTCTAGTTAATAATTGCGTTTCACTAATTTTAAATGATTTCGAGAGTAATTCTAACATGCGCGATCAATTACTTATTACATTTCTGATACATACTTCAAGCTCGCACAGTGTGCATGTGACACGTGAGAGTGCGACGTACCTTGTCGAGCGAGAGCGCGGCGAGGCCGTGCCCCATGGCGCCGGTGATGCGCGACATGGCGCCCGCCGCGCCGCCCACCGTGTGCCCCACCAGCGACCGCACGCCCAGCAGCAGCCCCTCCGCAAACTCACCCGGACCCTGGATCGCGCCCTGTGCCATACCACCGTCACACGCATTACTTAACCACCAATACCACCCTAACACTTAACTAACGAATTAGTTAAATTACGTGTCAATCACAAAAACAAAATTAACCCGATGGTAGGGTGCGGAAAACAAACTTTTAAAAAGTCGTGGGTTCGAATCCACCATTGAACTACTGTCGTGAACCAATCCTAGTACAAACATTTTAAGCTTACCTGGTATGGTTTACGGGAATTAAGTAATATCAAAAGCATGGCTAGTATTTTTTAATTAAAAAAATTATCTCGTAACTTACAGTAACAGTCAAGCAACACTTAAATATTACAGTCCATCAAGGTCAACTTCTAAACATAAGCCACCCTATAGATGAGAGAATCTATGGGGTGAACTACATAAGGGAAACATTTGCCACCCTTTTCAGGCGGGTTGACAACCGCAATGTTTACTTCCTAATTCTTATCAGGAAAACGATGCTACCCATCTCGTTTGTTTAACACTGTCACCTTCTACGACACTCACGGAATGATATGGATATATATATATACGATATTCTTACGATACCACTTGAAGAGACTTTTATATGTCAACCTTGCCGTGTTATGCAATTAAAGTCTCAATATAAAAATACACTATAATAATATAAATAAGAACAACTATTTTACTAGTGATGAGGCATTCTATCTTAGTCATCACCATATCAACGCTACTGCATTGTACTCACAGATGTCTATGAGCCACAGCATCCACTAACCATTAGGTGAATTGTTTGATACTTAATCAAGCCCGCCGGCACCAATGAAATTGTTAATTGTAATTTTTCAGTGCTGATTTACCACGTGCTCAGCGGTGAAGGAAAACATCGTGAGGAAACCTGCATGTCTGAGGAATAAGGAAAAAAATATTTCGAAGACATGTGAAGTTCGCCAACAGGCATTGGGGCAGCGCGGCGGACACTTCCTTGCCCTAAAACCCTCTCAGAAATGAGGGGAGGCCTGTGCCCAGCAGTGGGACGTATATAGGCTGTCACTTTACTTTTTACTTTTAATCAAGCTAAAACAGCAAAGCAGATTTATTTAAAGTTTGTTATAGATTGGGGTGGGGTAAGACTAACATAATTTCCTACCAGACAGAAAATAATGTTTGTATGAAGAAGTTGTTTGCCCTACGTTTGAAGTATAAATTATTCTGATATAATGAATGAAAAAAAAAATTATAAATATTTTATTTATGCAACTAAGGTAGTACAGATTATAAAATACAATGTAATATAATAAAATGAAAGTACAGTAGTTTTATTTCTCTATAATAGTTATCAATGTTAAAAGTTTACAATTAATTTTTCTAGATGGCGTTAGAAGTCAACTTTGAAACAAATATTTCGTACGTTCTCGGAGACCACGTTTAAATGTTCGCCTAAAAATTTGGTCCTTAGCACCCGATGCAGTACCAACCAGTACATCGCGACGCGTAATGTTTGTCACTTAAGACTTGGGGCAATAACATACGTTGGTCTTGCCTCCGACAAACTATTATTTATAGTAAACAATCTTTCCCCAGCTTACAATTTCTAGGTTATGTTATGTTTTGTTAAATATTTTAGAAAATGTTTGTTTAATGTTAAATTGATATAACTACTTAAACGCAAATTTTCGTAGGATGCTATCTATTTACGTTATTTTCAATATTCGTACTATTTTCACGTTAACCTAGCAACTTGATAAATTGTTTTCCCCTTTAAGAATTTTAAATGACGTTTTCGCTCATAGAATACCTGTACTGTTTCGTATGGTGAGTGTATAGAACCGGAAATCCTTTTTACTGGAAACGAGGCGTTCCATCTTAGTCCTCACGGGTGACAACGTAATTGGGGATAGATGTAGATGCACTTGGACCACAGCAACCATATACCATCAGGTAGGCTGTGTGCTCGTTTGTCACAGTTACTATAAAAAGAAAAACATTTAGTTACAGGAGCAAAATCTGTATTTTATGCCGAAAACTTTTATGAATGAACTATTTCACTGACTAAGAGAGAATTTCGTTACGAAGCTATACTTATCGAGATACTAAGCAGTGATTGTCTTGCCCCGGTGATAGTCTTAACTCACCTCACCTTATGAAATCTTAATAATATTTAGCAAAATAATTTGAATCTTAACATTTTCGGAATAAATATATTAAATTAATAAACTTTCTTTCTATGTCCTGGATTCAGTAGGGTATAGTTTATAAAACGGTATCTACAGATGCAGCCAATGAAGGTATTACCCTGAACATTTCTTTTTAGTTTTCATTTCAAAGTAGTTTTGATCTAAAAAAAAATGTTTGTAAAATCTAAAATAACTTTGCATTTAAGAGATACTTTATAAATTTAATATTTTTATTCAACCTAAAATTTCCAAATGTATAGTAGTAGTTCCAAAGGTATAGTTCATAAAGTATTCTTATATATTCTTAAAAAAGAACTTACTTGGAATGGCTCATAGAAGAGGTCTTCAACACCTTTCTTTAGCCCAATAACCAGTCCATATGGGTTTCCAATGACGTCCAACCCGAGTACCAAAACATACAATTGTTTTAAAGCTTGACCTGTGTAATGACTTTGTACTTGGTTTATCAACTCTTTCTGCGACAAGAATTCGTAATTCCTTTCATAGTACGATAGTCTAAAAACCAAGAAATACATATTAATAACATTTTACAATATTATACAAATATGAAAGATTGAAAAATAATTTACTAACTTAAATACAACATCGTTCATGTCTGTCAATGTGACGCCAATACTTTGTAGTATCGTTCCTACGAAAGTGGGTAATTGAGTAGCGCCGCCGAGTGAAAATGAAACGTGGACCTGAAATAGTTATAATGTATTTAATACTTTTACAGAAACTGAATGCAGCATGTCCAATTCAGTCATTTTTACAGACGTGACCCTATTTTTATAGAAAATCACTAATAAACGCAAGTTGCAATGTAATAATAATACCTTAAGTGGCGATAAATGTAAGTTGTCATAGAAATTCTTTTGATCGGAAGCAGCGCCCAACGCGGCGAGTGCTTCCAACGGTTGAGCAGCTCTTTCTAAGTCCAGTTGGAATGCGTCCAGCTATAACAAGAAAAAAATATTATATGAAATCTTTTATTCGCCTGTAAAACACTTACAAAATTTTAGAGTATAGTATAAATATCAGTAGCATAATGCGGATATACAGGGTTATTTTACAATAACCGGCCAAATTTGCAGAGATAATTCCGAATAAATAATATAGGCAAATGGTGAAGAAAAATAAATTTAAAACAAAACCTCAAAAATTCTGTTTTTTTTTTTATCTTTTTAATTCCAAATGCGTGTAATGCATTGTTTTAATTAATTTTAAAGCGCATGCACACATTCGTATGGGTCGATCATAAGGCAAAAACATTGTTGCCGATAAATCACATTCAATTAGGGATTTAAAAAATGACTACTTTTTGAAAATTAACCCCGTATATTTGGTATCGATAAATGACGAAAACTGAAGACTCCTTTCAATGGTAACATTGACATATGGTAAATTGTGACAACGCATATACATTGCGATTCTTAATCTTTACTGTTCACACAAAAAGTTCTTTACCCAGTCTATCAAACCAGGAGAGATAATTAATAGAGAGAGAGAGAGTTAACTCTTCTGTAAAATATAGTTTCAATGTCAGCATTACCCCATAGCAAGATTCCATATGACATTATGCTATGAAAATAACTAAAATAAACTGATCTACCTTTTCTAACACATGTAAGACCTTTAATTGTTTTTACAGCATTTGCTGCAAAAGTAAGCCTGCTAGCTAGGTTTTTTTTTATAGAAGAGGGGGCAAACGAGCATGCGGCTCACCTGATGTTAAGTGACTACCGCCGCCCATGATCAACCGCAACACCAGGGGAATTGCAGGTGCGTTGCCGCCCCTTTAGAAAGGAGTAAGCTCTTTTCTTGAAGGTCCCCAGATCGTATCGGTCCGGAAAAATCGCTGGTTTATAAACTATTTCACAGAGAGGTCGTACGCGGAAGAAAGCTCCTTTTGAAACGTACAGTTGTGGACGTGTGGATGGTATCGGAACGTTTGCCACGTAGTGCGTTCACGAAATTTAGCGGCTGGGAATAATCCGAACAATTCCTCAGAGCACTCTCCATGGTATATGCGAAAGAAAATGCCGATCGGAAAGCACTCGGTCGTCGATGATTCGAGCCGCTCTGCGCTGGATGCGGTCAAGTGGAAGGAGCTGGTACAGAACAGTTAAAGAACATATAGCTGATGTGAAGAATCGACGCTCCGGGAAGTCTGCAGTCTGTGAACACGTACAGGATCCCCCCGTCACTACATCAGATTTGATAGACCGCAAATCCTCGCTAAAGAACACCGATTCCTTCCAAGAACGATTCGCGAGGCTATTGAAATCAAAAAACATCCTAATTTCAATAGAGAAGACGGCTGGGTGCTACCATCTGCTTGGGATCCTATAATAAATAAAATTAAATCCCAACTCAAGCACACAACTGCAAGACTTCAAGATACCATAAGTTTATACTGTGTAGATCGGAACAAAACTTAAATTTTAATCTATGGTAAACGCGGTTAACTATGACATATATGAACATCTCAGTCCCGCCCGTGACCATGAGTGCTGTAAAGCGTTCGAAACGTCGGGTATTTAAAAAGTTAAATATACGCGATAAATTCCGTAAAAACTAGTATTATTCCAATGTGTAGTATTAGCGTAAATATAAGAAATCATTATGGTACAAAAGTTATCTATGTATCATCAAAGTTAGATATATGTGAGGCCCATTGAAGTTTCGCGGCAACTGTAATTCCGAAAAAACCAGTGGAGTAATCAGGCTCAGCTATTAAAAACATTATTAATTTCTAAACTGAATTTTGATTACCCCTTTATCTTAGTATATATTGATATTATCCTATGGAGGAGCTAATGGGCCCTACAACATCCACTTACTCTTAGGTGAGTTGTGTTCGTTTGTCACCAGTACCTTTTTGCATTAATATAAAATAACATTTGTCACTTATCTTAGCAAACTGTAATGTTATCTATGTATTATCATAGTTACAATTAATTGATAAGTTCTCGACCGATTTTATTAGTTAATATTTTATATTTAAATTACATAAAATAAGGTAAAAGCAGTTTTAAATAATTACTTACCGCTTCTTGTTCAGTAAGTAGCTTTTGCGGGAACATGCCCATAAGTGCATTGATAAGCCCCATATCCACTTTTACATGGAACTCTTGGATCAGGACCTTGTAGTATCTGTATTGGCGTACTTTACTGTGCTCCATGATACGCTCCACTATCGACACCTCGATGAATGGCTTCATACCTGATAATACAAATTGTTAATAGATGACAATAAATAGTCAAATTTAAGTTAAGATTTAGACTTATTTTCTTTGGCACATCTTTATTATCTTACTAAGTTACTAGAAGTTATATAATTTTACAGTCTGGATATCCGTTAATAACACTTTAATTTTTGTTAAATTTTATAATATTTTTAAAGTCATATTGATTATAATTATGTTGTAAGTAAAATTAAATTCTTTGTAAAAAAAGGGAAGGATTGGATGTGCAGTCGCACCGCTATGATTTCGTACGCATTGAGTGTAACACACCCACACGGGTTTTTCAACACAACGCAACGTTACGAGTGTGGCCGTGGAAGGAAAAGGGGAGATCTCCCGCCGGGCAAGGCGTTCTGCCCGGGGAACGGCCAACACTCCGTATGATAGCTTGGAGATGTTCTCTCTGAGTATATATACTGTTTATGATTCGGAATTTTGATAGCGTGATTTAAGCTTCGGTGTGTTTCGCTTGCGGCGCGACGACAGCGCCGCCACAAGAGCGTAGACGGGCTGCATTTTTCCTTACAAATGTATTCCTCTATTCTCTTCCTGGATAATGTCTCTAATGTAATTGTTTTTCTTTATAAAAATCTGGATTTATTGAAGTCATGCCCTTTTCATTTTTTTTTTAGAAAATCACTAAATTTCATTAGTTATTTACATTTATTCTTAAATATATATATATATATATATATATATATATATATATATATATATATATATTACTTTCCAAAACTTTAACAAATGTGCCGTTTTTACCTCCGTAATGAGATGACTATCAAAGAAATTCGAAAGTTTGTAAGATAAAAACAAGTGATAGGAGCATAGATCTATACTTCCTGTAAATTTTGTCACCAAAAATAATTAATGTCTGCTTAGTTTTCGAGGAGAAAACATTGGAATACGAAACGTTGATCGGTCTTGGTTTTGTTAGTAAAATCGTTCTGCGCTGGAGTTGTCCCTATCGCACTCTACGGAGGGACTAGAGATGAAGGAGGGTTTAGACTAGTACGTACACAATTAGGGAAATGACAATTGTCGAAATTAGTACTGAGCTATGCACACAAATACAGACTATTCACTCACATATTGATACTGCAGTTGCTCGGACGCAGCACGACGGCAATAGTATCATTAGATTCCTATTTCTCAATTCCCGCGTAGACCGACTACGCTCTTAAGATGTTGTTGACAAACGTTTGCGCATCAAACAAACATTGTGCTGTCGCTGCGGTGTTACACCGCATCATCTCTCCTCGTTTCGCTTCTCTGGTCTCGTAGATAGTCGCAACGCACCGTGTGGCATGTGACTGATTTATATGTAGAATGTAGTGCAGAGTAATCACACGACTTATATATAATGTAATGTGTATGTAATATGTGTAATGTTAATTGTAGGTATTTGTGTAAAGTTGTAGTGGAATTAAAGTGTTAGACAGAAGGTTCCATCATTAGATGGCTAGGCTCAAGGTACCGTCGGGACGGTCGTTGGCGACGGACTTGGGCGGCGGCACGGGCGCCAGCACGACGGGGAAGGTGGGCAGCGGCAGCTGCTGGTCCAACTGCAGGCGGTGCAGGCGCGCGTGCAGGCGGCGCGAGTGCGCGGACAGCCCCAGGCTGGCCCACACGCCCGGCTCGGCCGTGCGCCGCAGCAGCCGCGCGCCCGGCCGCAGCAGCCGCATCTCCTCCAGGTCCACCTGCCCACACGCCACACGCCTCAGCCCGTTACAATTATTGAAGTCCACCGTTGAACATAGGAATCCACCATACATTGCCTCGTAGAGCAGATATTTGCCATAGCTGCTGCGCTCGGAAAACGCGTTGACAACCGCGCTTTATTCACCTCTGTCGCCTCTTAAGACAACCACGCAATGATATCAGGTAGTGAATGTTTTCACCGCCACTCCACGACCTGTTCACATAAAACTACAAAAATCGTTTTTTTTTTTTCAATGGACTCGTACTGTTATACTTTCACCAGTGTCAAGTATATTGATAAATTATCCTTTATAATAATTTACTTTAAAACTCCTTCCCAATATATTTATGTGTTACATTATAAAGTTATTAGGAGAATTTGACAGCAACTTCAACCAGCAGACAGTCAATGGCAATAGCATCTCCAGTCGCCTGTTCATACACATTATCACTTAGTTCATGGCTTCCACTATCATTTCACATTCACAGACATTTAATCGCACCACTTTTACAAAATCTACTTCAAGCCACTATTTAAATAAAAATACAAAAGCAACAATACGCCGCCGGTCAAGTTCCACTCAAAATGTTACTTAAATCATATAATGTCTAGATACTGCAACGCGCAGTAATTATGTTTAATAATGTTGACTCATAAGTCAACATCGTGGGGTACAGTACAATGCGTAACAGCTTCGTCTTTACACTCACACTGACTGTATATGTGTGCGTGCAGTAAGAATACCGATTTAAGGTTTTTCACCATCATGTGCGAAAAACAAAGGGAAGTTGTATATATGGTCGTTTTCAATTTTTATATTCGTACATACATATATAATAGTTACATGACCAAACTTAATATTTGAGAATATATTATGGTCTTTGATTAAAATGAAAACTGAAAAATGTGGCCGTTATTTTGAGAACTTTTGTTTTTGGACACATTCCTTTAAAAACAATATCGGGGGTTCCAAGATAACTCGGACTTTGATAGTCGAGATTTGTCTAGCTAAGACTTATTTTAACTGATATTCATTTTTGATTAGCAGTCAATTCTAGTTATAATGAGGGCGTTCTAAATACTGGCTTCAACCAAAGAAAACGCGTTTATATGATAACGGGCTACCAGTTTCACTTTAACACAACATAATGTTATTGTGGATCAAAACCACGCCATGCGCCGGCTATGCAATTTATTTACAGGGAAATATTTAAACAGGCTAATATTTTAACGGAGAACTTTACGGAAATCAGCCTATACCAATTGTTGAACAGCTGGGCCGTGAGTCAGATCATTACTTAAACGTCTTCGTTATATAAATGGCCTGGGTTGTTGTTAATACACGGATCTAACTATGAGATGTCAACACAACATTATAATATGCAGCAATAATAAAAACCTAAATTTAATACAACTACTACTTTTAATAGTCTAAAAATCAACCAAGTTTTGAAACTTATTTGAAATAATACATATATAATGAGATAATTTATAATATATAGGTCCTAGATAGAATAATAACAAACTTTGACTATTGTTTTACAATCCCCGAGTTCGCCGCCTATCTGCTAAGGATGTAGAATTCTAATTTCAACCAACGGCAATATTGTACAAAAACACGAATTGTTTAAAACAAAATTTTAGGTATTATATCACGTTTTACTAAATCTATTTCAAATTATAAAGATTTCGGTTATAAACTTGAGTGCGGTTAAAGAATGGGAATCAAATGGCGTCGCCTCTACTCAGCTCTCGCTCGCACGCTGTCGCTATTTATACTCACTCCCGCCGGTAGACTGCAAAAAATACGTTGCTTTATATGAGTTTTTCGGTACGTTTAATAACTTCAGCCCAAATTGTTATTACAATCAATGATAACAAATTGATTTACATTACAAAAAAAATTCGGTCATGTTTTTATAATTTGTGAGTTACGACCCGTTCTGAGTTTTCTTCATCATTATTGTTGATTTTATTTATTAATATTTTTACATTGACACCATGACATTAGTAACCATTTTTAAAATGTTCGTTTGTCTATTTGTCCAAGCTTAACTTCGGCATGGCTGAACTGATTGTAATACAAGTGGTAAAATTAAAAAATTTATACAACCGGCTTCAATATAAATGAAATTAGAACATCATCAATGTTTTCGAAGGAAATCAAATACGCATTATTAAATATAACTCAAAAACTACTGATCAGATCAAATATACAAGGTGTAAGTGTAAACACAGTTGTCACTAAACCATAGGTAGTTGGCTTTAATATAAAAATATTTATCCGAATTTTAAAGAAAACGCTATTTTCATGCATAAAATTTAAAAAATTTCTGTCCGACTCCGTCCGCAAATTCATGGATACCCGAGTGACGTGATCGCTGTAAAAATCACCGCCGCGCTAGCTGCCTACACAAAATTCCAATAAAAACACAATGTACCTATTGTGATTTTACATAACCTGTGACGTAACTTTTCCTTCATACTTTCATCCTGGCTTAGGACAGGCAAAAATTGAGGAATTAAGGAAAAATTGAGATTATACTAAAAAAAGGATATTATTTTTCAATGAATTTACGTTCTATAAGTGAAACCAAACCACTGGTTTCAAAGATAACGGTGTTTACACTAACAACCTGTATATGGCATCACACAAACAGCTTTCAAATAAAAAAAGAATCATCAAGTTCACTTAGAAAAATGTTCTGATGTAACCACACGTAAAAAAATATAGTTAAATTGAGTACCTCCTCCTCTTTGAAGTCGGTTGATAACTTCACGAACAAATATAAAGTAATACCTGGAGCGATCTAGACTATTTATTATCGAAAAAAATTAGAAATTTTATTCGAATAGAAATACAGTGTAAACTCTATATAGCTATATTGAAGGAATCGGGCATTTTATTGTGTTATAAAGAGTTATCGTTAAATGAAGAGCAAAAGAAAACAATATAATTTTACGAATAAGTGGTTTTAATTTTGACTAAATTAAGTGAAAAAAATTAAATAATAAAATTATAATCATTATTTTTGTTTGTCCTTTTTATGCCAGTATTTTAATTGTATCTTTCATTGTATTATATCAATATCTTGGGATATAGTGGGATCATCTTCATTTAATAAAAAGAGTTTTTACAATAGTTTGCGGCATGCAAAGCTTGTTCAATGCTTGGTGGTGGCTCAAGATCATCGACGTCGTTTTTTTCATCGCTTTCTTCGTCCTCATTTTTCTGCATTGAATCAAGAACTTCTCCATCAATGAGTGAAGCTGCTGTTGCTCGTCCACTTATAAGTAGGTTTCTAAATTTTCAGTAAAATCATGAGGCATTTTGAACTGTTTTGTTAATTCAATCGGAGGTCATCTTCACTTTCAAACTCCGGTTCACAACCTTCAGAACTGGTACAAAGTCCTGCATGGCGATAAGTGCTGCTGTATGGCCATTGCTGTCAACTCTACACAGGTTTTAGCTAAGAAGTTAACTGCATGGAGCATATTAATAGAAATTCTCGCCTTTAAATTTTTAAGTTTTATTCAGCGTCAACTAGTAGATGATTCCGGTTTCGTCAGCACTCAAAATGTCTTTTGGAGCATACTTTCTTTTAATTGTGGCCACACTTTTTAATCCAGTCGTAAATAACATTCGTGTCGACATCTCGTGCTTCTCTATTCATCTAACCGTAATTGATACGATAACGTTGTTTAAACTTTCCAAGCCATCCTTCGAACGCTTTGAAATTAGTTATGCTAAGTTATTCAGCACATTTCTCTGCCTTAGCTTTCATAATAGGTCCCGAGACAGGCATATTATTCTGACGTTACTTACAAAACCATGAAAACATGGCCTGATCTAAATCTTCAAATTTAGGCTTTTTTAATTTCTTTATGTCTTTCTATTCGTTTCTGCCAGTAGAAATTTTTCCTAGTTCTTCCAGATGGTAGACAGTAGATGGACTAAATCCAAAACGTTTTGCAACATCACTTTTTTTTCCTTTTCTCTTCTTTAATGATTATCTTAAGTCTAAACACAGAATAAATAATAGTACAAGAACAGAAGGATCACTCTCTGATAGCAAACTAGCAAGTTTAAACCTAGTCACAACTTCGCTAATGTTCATAATACTTAGGACGCCTCGGAAGCAACCTTCGTGAAATTAGCCTACTACTAGAGTATTGAATCAAAATGCACATTACGTCTGCGTGCGAGTGTCTGTGTATCACTTAGCCCGTTAAGTAACTTTGTTAAGGCCGCACCTACTGTAGGGTTAGGTGTTGTGAGAAAAGAAATTGAATCCTTTAATATATATTCTACTAATACACCGAGGTGTTATGTAATGTATGCAATGAACTAGTGATTTGCTGATAATAAGAACATTAGTGTTTATTGTGAGGAAGGTTAAGATTATAACAACGTGAACGTCTTTGAAACTCAGATAATTTACCTACTTACCATTTTCTGTTTTACATTTTTTGCTATTTACTAACATGCGACAAACGACGGCATTATTAATGAAAGAGTGCCAATGGCAAGTGCTACTATTTTCAATCTCTTTCTTTTATCGACCAAATGTTTAACCAATATCCAGTATATGCTGATCTTGCATTAGTAGGGAATGACTACAACTGGGAGGTCTCTACTTACACTGAACTATTATTTAAGATCATTGACATTATACGCGAAAAATCGAAAGCTGCGAAGCTATGATCGGGTCGCTAGTCAAATAATAAATCTGTAACTATGGAGCCAACAACTAGGTATCTAATTATCTAGATATACCTATAAATAATAATATCCTAACTTTCGGTATCTTTAGGAAGAGTAAAGAATGAAAAGTCGACATTCCTACTTGAGCGCGCGAGTGAAACCCTCGCTGAATTAGCCCCTTGTAGGGTGCCGCACAGCGTAGGTATATTTTCATGCTAAAAGCGCGGAGTGGGACATGCCTGGTCTAAATAACGCCACATTAATAGATGAGAGCCCGCATTAATAGAGAGACCCAGAAGTCAGAACGGGTCACTAGTTATGTTATTTTAAAATTAATATAGGTACCTACTTAGGTGAATTTTTTTTTCAAATATTTTCCTATTAATAGGAAATTTAAAATTAACTGAATAATATTACGTTATAAGGATATACCGTTATTAGCAGGTTTTTGCTATTGGTACTGCGCATGTACGAGCTCGAGGAGACGCTATTTTTAATCCCATTCTATATCCGTGCAGATTATACCCATAATAGTATAACATTTTTCCTATTACATTATTATGTTTGTCATTAAACAAAATCAAATACCTACTTGTAATATATTGATTAAAACTACCTTTATGGATTTTATCGTGTTTAATTTATTTTATTTTTAATTTATTTTATTTTTAATTCCCTACGTTTCGGGAACCTCAGTACCCCGCGACCATGGGTGCTAGAAAGCACCCGAAACGTCCAAAATTAAAAATCAAATAAATGAAACGCGATAAAATCCGTAAAAGTAGTTTTAATCAATGTGTAGTACTCGCGTAAATATAACAAATCATTACTTGTAATATAATTGTGTCCATACCTCCATCTTCTCATCAATAATGACTCTAGGCGACACGGGATCATCGCTGACCATCTTTTCGGTAATGTAACGTTGGTATGCTTCCTCTAATTGTATGAGTTTGGGACCTTCGATCCTCTTATAACGTCGCGCACCAATTTTACACTGCTCCCATATTATTCCAGAGCTGATAGACAGACACAAAACAATATTTAAATTTATGATTTCCACTATTAATCTTAAAATAGAATACAATAGACTAACTTTTATTTAATATAGATTATTACATAATACTCATCTGAATTCAATCTTTTTATTTACTGTTTTGTTTGGAATTTACCACTGTCTTGGGAAGGACCAACAAGAAAATAAATACATAGAAATAATTATTTTCTAAACTTAATATTATTAATGTGTATGACGATCTCGAACAGCTCGCGGTCGTCGACGAGCGACAGGCCGAAGCCGTGCACGGAGGCACGATCTCGGTGTGCAGCGGCTCGGCCTCGCCCAGCGTGTGAGTTGTGAGAGAATTGGACTCACTTGGAGACGCTGAGGTAGACGATCTTGAGCAGCTCGCGGTCGTCGACGAGCGACCGGCCGAAGCCGTACACGGAGGCACTATCTCGGTGTGCAGCGGCTCGGCCTCGCCCAGCGTGTGAGTTGTGAGAGAGTTGGACTCACTTGGAGACGCTGAGGTAGACGATCTCGAGCAGCTCACAGTCGTCGACGAGCGACAGGCCGAAGCAGTGCATGTAGAGCACGATCTCGGTGTGCAGCTGCTCGGCATCGCCCAGCGTGTGAGTTGTGAGAGAGTTGGGCTCAGTTGGAGACGCTGAGGTAGACGATCTCGAGCAGCTCGCGATCGTCGACGAGCGACAGGCCGAAGCCGTGCACGGAGGGCATGATCTCGGTGTGCAGCGGCTCGGCCTCGCCCAGCGTGTGAGTTGTGAGAGAGTTGGACTCACTTGGAGACGCTGAGGTAGACGATCTCGAGCAGCTCACAGTCGTCGACGAGCGACAGGCCGAAGCCGTGCACGGAGAGCACGATCTCGGTGTGCAGCGGCTCGGCATCGCCCAGCGTGTGAGTTGTGAGAGAGTTGGGCTCAGTTGGAGACGCTGAGGTAGACGATCGCGAGCAGCTCGCGGTCGTCGACGAGCGACAGGCCGAAGCCGTGCACGGAGGGCACGATCTCGGTGTGCAGCGGCTCGGCCTCGCCCAGCGTGTGAGTTGTGAGAGAGTTGGACTCACTTGGAGACGCTGAGGTAGACGATCTCGAACAGCTCCCAGTCGTCGACGAGCGACAGGCCGAAGCCGTGCACGGAGAGCACGATCTCGGTGTGCAGCGGCTCGGCCTCGCCCAGCGTGTGAATTGTGAGAGAGTTAGACTCACTTGGAGACGCTGAGGTAGACGATCGCGAGCAGCTCGCGGTCGTCGACGAGCGACAGGCCGAAGCCGTGCACGGAGAGCACGATCTCGGTGTGCAGCGGCTCGGCCTCGCCCAGCGTGTGAGTTGTGAGAGAGTTAGACTCACTTGGAGACGCTGAGGTAGACGATCGCGAGCAGCTCGCGGTCGTCGACGAGCGACAGACCGAGGCCGTGCACGGAGAGTACGATCTCGGTGTGCAGCGGCTCGGCCTCGCCCAGCGTGTGAGTTGTGAGAGAGTTGAACTCATTTGGAGACGCAGACGTAGACGATCTCGAGCAGCTCGCGGTCGACGACGAGCGACAGGCCGAAGCCATGCACGGAGAGCACGATCTCGGTGTGCAGCGGCTCGGCCTAGCCGTGTGAGTTGTGAGAGAGTTGTACTCACTTGGAGATGCTGAGGTAGACGATCTCAAGCAGCTCGCGGTCGTCGACGAGCGACAGGCCCAAGCCGTGCACGGAGAGCACGATCTCGGTGTGCAGCGGCTCGGCCTCGCCTAACGTGTGCGCGGCCGCCGCCAGCGCTGCGTCCGCCGCCAGCAGCACCACGCGCTGCAGCCCGTCCAGGAACGACACCCACGACACCACCGACCCCTCCTTTATCCTGTATATTAGTCAACGTTCAGCTCAGAAAAGTTGGCTGTCCACCTATCTCTTATGTAGATAGCGACTCCTACTGCCCTGTTAATATACTTTTTAGAGTAAAATTATGTAAATCCTTGCAATAGGGGGACCGTCGCAAACTCATTAAGCTAGCACTCGCTGAAGACAATAGCGTCGAAATCAAGATCCAATTTTTAGGGTTAATAGGAAGTTATCAAAGTTTTTACGCATGCTTCTTATGTTCATGCTTTTAAAATCCTGAATGAAAATCTGGATAGAACGTCTTTACAATCCTCTGGGATCGTTATTTTGTGGCACTTTATCTGAGATGAATTATCTATAGCATCTAACAATTCTAGGGAAGCCATGGGAAGATCGTGAAAAATTGATTGGAGTAGTATGTGTGAGTAAAACCATCACATTTACAATCAACAAATAAATAGGACACAGCATAAGACACCACACGTTAGCAAAACGATAAGAAGAGAGACGGTTATATTTTACTTGTACGGTTGCAATAGGGGTACGAATTCGCAAATATACTGCGATCACACTTTCTAACTCATATTGACCTGGTAATTAAACGTTGAGGCGTCTTTTATTTCAAAACCGGTTATACAATGCCGATCAACCGCACACCGCCGCCCGCTTCGCCAGTGCCTATGAGCTCTGATGATACATCGCAATCGCAGACGCGCGCAATCGACGCGATAGAACGGACGACAAAACTTCACAGTGAATCGGCGCCTGATATTCCATCGCTTACGTTAAATGTTACTGAGCGTAAAAAAAGGAAACATGACGGAGTGAATCCTAACATTATGTCTTATATGAGTGAAATGTTTACAGTTTATACGAATGAACAAGCAAAGCTTTTCAAAGATTTACAAACTATAGTTTCTAGTATAAAAGAACAGAATGATGAATTAAAAATGAGCGTCGATACTATGTCAAGCAAGTATGATGAGTTTCTATCACGGATATCCGTTCTAGAGGCAGAGAAAAGGCAGGATAGATATATTATACAAAAACTACAGGAGAAAATAGAAAATATGCAAAGGAAGTCTAGATTTCCAGGAATAGAAATAAGAAACTTACCTAAAAACAATGAAGAATCAAAAGAAAATAAATACTTCGCATCTAAATTACTCACAAAAAACATTCCTTATATATGTCACGGAGACGTTAACACAAAATACTCAAAAACTTTTCTATCAGGCCAGAATTTTCCAAAAAAGTCATAAATATTTATTCTGCTGGACATCTAGAGGCATTGTATACTTACGCAAGAATGAAAATTGTTCTCAAATTAGAATAACTAATGAAACAGATCTAGAAAATCTACGGAAGACCGAATGACTAGTTTAAGCTTTAGATTAGATATTTTCGCATCCTTTCTTTTATTTTTAACTAGCATAATAAGAATAAAGTATATTCTAACACTATACCTTATATTAATATCCTGTATATTATATTATATATATTACATAAAATTTTACGTATGTGTAAGTAAATATTCAGAGAAACTAACGTAACTAACTAACCATGACATTAATTTTTATGTATTTAAAAGTATTTATAAAAAGTAAAAAAAGTAAAATTACAGCATATATACGTCCTATTACTGGGCACAGTAATGAGACGAATATATGCTCCTCTCAATTGTGAGAAGATTTAGGGTAAGGAAATATCGACATACTTCACACGTCTTTGAAAAATTGTCAGAACATAATACTGCCTGTCAGTATTTATATAAACCAGTATAAACAACCCACTCAGAAAATAAAGGGTGATCATTTCATCACTATTGATAATAATTAAGTGTCTCGACATTAATTTGTTCAAATATCATATTCAAGTAGCACTAGATGTGAGACTAACTGCGGGTATAAGAGTTTTGTGAAATTAGTCCCTGTTCGCTCTTTAACTCTCTTATTTTAAAAATTATTACAGACAGTAACTCTAGTGGTTACTATATTTTTGCCCAAATAATATGTTTTTAGCTACGATGGCTATCCGAGTACAGAACCAGAGCTCGAAACCTATCCAACTGCAGAGAGGTGTAAGACAGGGTGACGTTATATCCCCGAAACTCTTCACCGCTGCTTTGGAAGACGTTTTCAAGCTACTGGACTGGAAAGGATACGGTATTAACATCAATGGCGAGTACATCACTCACCTTCGATTTGCCGACGATATAGTCGTTATGGCAGAATCGCTGGAGGACTTAAGCACTATGCTCAATGACCTCAATAGTGCCTCCCAACTGATAGGTCTTAAGATGAACATGGACAAAACAAAGATTATGTTTAATGTCCATGTCACACCTATGCCGGTAGTTGTTGGAAGCACTATGCTCGAAGTTGTTGACGAGTACGTTTACCTGGGACAAATATTCCGACTAGGTAAGTCCAACTTCGACCGAGAGGTCAATCGACGGATTCAACTCGGCTGGGCAGCGTTCGGGAAATTACGACATATCTTCTCGTCAGGTATACCTCAATCTCTGAAAACTAAAGTGTACAACCAGTGCGTGTTGCCAGTGATGACTTACGGATCAGAGACGTGGTCCTTCACTGCTGGCCGTATGAGGACGCTCAAGGTCGCTCAGCGAGCTATGGAGAGGGCTATGCTCGGAGTTTCTCTGCGTGATAGACTCAGAAATGATGATATCCGCAGTAAAACCAGATTGACCGACATAGCCCAACGGATTAGTAAGCTGAAGTGGCAATGGGCCGGCCATATAGCTCGAAGAACCGATAACCGATGGGGAAGAAAGGTTCTCGAGTGGCAGCCTCGTACCGGTAGGCGTAGTGTAGGGCGACCCCCCACTAGATGGAGTGACGACCTGGTAAGATATGCAGGAAATCGATGGATGCAGGTGGCTCAGGACCGTGCTTTGTGGCATTACTTGGGGGAGGCTTATGTTCAGCAGTGGACTTGTGAAGGGCTGTGATGATGATGATGATGAATATGTTTTTAAGATGCCGTTAAGTCTCGTGCTGCCTCTATCACTTTAAGTCAAAGTGACTGACCCCACGAGCCACGAGACCTAACGACATCTTAAAATTGAGTAGCGCTTTTGAGTATTTAACCATTTATTTGTCCTGCTGCGAGTACAGCAGACGATATCGAAATAACGTCGCCAAAAATTGAATTTGAGGCGAAATTTCATACGTCATTTATGCCAGGGGTGTCAGGAGATGGGTGGCTCTCTATATGCTCGCGATGCTTGGCTCTTATGAAATAGATACATAGTGTAAACAACAAATAAACCTGAAATACGATTCATAACAGAAGTGTGATCGTATTCTACTTAGTTAAAAATCTTGCAAGTAAACAAAGTTTTAATTTCAGTGTTTTGTGTTATTATAACTTAAAATACTTTAATTACAAAAGACAAGTACAAGTACGTAAGTAGATACTTGGATAATGAAGTAAATTTCAACTAAGTTTTGTAATAAATTACTTAGGTATTACTTCTGTAGATAAATTATTACTAAGTTCTTTTTTGCTATAAGTACCTATCTAACAAAAAAAAAGAAATAAATTCATCTTTTATAACTTCCTTCCAAAATCCTTCGGTAACTTAAAGAATGATATATCCGAAACCTTTTGCTGGTCATTCAGCATAATATATCCACGCAAAAATTATAGTACGAACAACGTTTTGCAATTAAAATTTATCAAATAGGTAATATACATAGTATAAATAATTTTTAAATTACATTATAGCTTTTTTAACAATTTTATCCTAAAATTAAATATACTAAACACTAAACAAAAACTATTTCAACAACATTTACTTATTTACAAAAAAATATTTACGTAAACAGCGTTAAAAACTTTCACATTCAATCGCCAACAACGCGATAGCCCCAACTGCATATGTTACCCTGGGTGATTCGTGATTGTAGGTAATTATTTCACGCAGGTAGCAAGAATGACAGAGGCCTGCTGCTAGGGACTACTAGGTATAGGGAACGTAGCATAAAATAAGAAATCCGATGGTAGATTATTATTATTGCACCTATAGAGGAAAATGTTTATTCATACAAGTCTTAGAAAACTTTATTACTAATAATCTAAATGTGATGAAATACCCTTTATACCCATTTAGCGCGATTTATTATAGTATAATATATTATTGGCTATATAATATTAGTTATTTCGTTTATTTAAAAACGCTGGTATGCAATAATCAGTTACTTAGTTCCGTGTATCGATATCGTACTAAGAAAATTTGACTTTAATCCAAATTCAAGAAAAACATTATTTGAAATTAAAATCAAACAAAAATGTTCCTTCTGAGAATTCTAGAACTAAAATATAACATCAAGTCTGAATGAAGAAGTTTAGTTGGTAAATACAGAGAATCAAAAAAATTCAGTACAAGAAATTACAACAATCTAAAGATTTAATTAAACGGGACCAATAAAGGTGAAACGAAACTCGATTTACAGAAGTTTTGTATGACCCAGATATTGGCATATATGTAAATGATTTATCAAACCTGACTTCACTACAACGGTCTTATTTTCTTAGCAATTGTAATGTGACGGTAAATGGTAGTAATAGTAATTGTGTTTTTAATAATAGTACTTTTAAAAATACACTACACATTTAATGAAAATAATTTTTACGGATTTTATCGAGTTTAATTTAATTTTTTGATTCGAGACGTTTCCACGGCTATAAGCCGGCCACGGTCGAGCGAGTGCAAGCTGTAATACCATACGTCAGAGGAGTCACAGACAAGATTTTTAAATTATAAAAACAAAAGATTGGCTACATCTTGAAGAGAGCTATCATTAAATCCTACTACAAGCCGCTGAAGATCACTCAATTTTTAACACCCGTCAAGTGCAATATCCCTCTACAAGATGCAGGCGTGTACAAGCTTGATTGTGAATGGTCTCTTGTGCATAGGACAAACAAAAAGATCTATAAGAGCCCGCGTAAAAGAACACATAGCTCATGTGAAGAAGCGATGCACCGGAAATTCTGCAGTCTGTGAACAAATACAGGATCCCTCAAAAGCCCTCGTCCCTACGTCAGAATTGATACACCACCAACCCTGGCTAAAGAACACCGATTCCTTCCAAGGATGATTCGCGAGGCTATTGAAATTAAAAAACATCCTAATTTCAATAAAGAAGATGGATGGGCACTATCATTTGCTTGAGATCCTATAGTTAATAAAATTAAATCCAAACCCAAGCACACCACTGCAAGACTTCAAGATACTTAAGTTCATTCTGCGTAGATCGGACCAAAAATTAATATCAAAAACTGAAGGTAGCCAGGTTGACTATGACATCGGACGTCAAACGTCTCAGTCCCCCGTGAAACGTCGGGAGTTAATAAGTTAAATTAAACGCGATAAAATCCGTAAAAATTAGTTTCTTTTTACGACTTTATGTCAAGTATTTTTTTTTGTATTTCTTGATCAAATAATTAAATGTTTTGTTTGTAATTTAAAGTATTCTAACGGATGTTACTAATTAATTTTATATTGCTCTGTATTTATTAACATGTTTCAATAAATGTTTAAATTTTTAAAAATTATAAAATATTATAAATTTTATGCGTGACTAAGTAAAACACACCGTACAATAATCGGCGAGATAAGTCCCGCATGAGCATGACTTAAACATGGTTTTAAGGCACCGCGTTCTATAAATACATATTTCGATATAACGGACAGACACTTCAATTTTATTAATATTTATACATGTAAAGATATCATCAGTCACCAGCCTGTTTGATTGAGTCTACTACTGGACGTAAGCCTCTTCCAAATCAACTAAACTTTCTGTTTTAAGTATCTTCGATATTAGACTAATTTTGATTATTTTAAAGAGTACACTTTCACAGTGATAACCAATATTAATCTTTAGCTATTTCGAAAATAAGCTTTTAATTTTTTGAGTTGATAAGCCAACAATTTCGAAGAGTTATGTGTAGAATACATACATAATAATCACCTGTTTCAACCAATAAAATTAAAATAAATTGTCACTTACATAAATTCGCCAATGCCGTCTTTTCTGAGATCATTTTCGACTTCTTTTTTTTTGTGGCCTTCGAATATAAGAATACGTGGTCCAGCTGGATTGTCCCACGTGAAGAGCATTTGGTGCATAGGTTCTATTTTCCTGGATAAATTAAAAACAACAAATTCATAATATGTATAAAAACGGTTCTCTGTTTGTCATTAGGGTTGTTCATTTTTTTTCGTTTTGCATTATAATTTAATTTAGTTTTTGTATTAGGTCTTTACCTATAAATATGCCGTTTCTTATAAGTTAAAATATGTTTTTCTATCTTTTTATCTCTATTATTCAAAGTTACCTCCTATGCAATCGATGTATCTTTGCCAACGAAGTAGCCCTTCTTGAAGAAATCAGCTGGACGGGAGGCAACAAATTCCTCAAAGGCATATTGTACAGCCCCTTCGGTATTGAATTATTATCCCGCCAAAAAGTTATCCAAATTCTGGAAAAAGTAAAAGTTTGTAGGCGTAAGGTCTTTTTTGTATGGCGTATAATATAGAGCTTCCAACCCCAGCTCTTGTAACTTGGAGACCGTCTGTTGTGCAGTATGAGGTAGCGCGTTGTCGTGCAAGAGCAGCGGGGACGAGCGATTGACCAAAGCTGGTTGGAGACGTACGAGCTTTTCATTGTGTTCAGTTCTTCACAGTACACATCTGCAGTAATGCTCATGTCGTGCGGTAAGAAGTTGTGATGAATCACACCGGCGCTAGATCAAAAAATAGTGACCATCACTTTCTAGGGGTAAATTTTCGTTTAGGGCATTGTATAGGTGCTGAACCAGGATCTTACCAACAAGTTGATTGGATTATAATTTAGCACCTAGCGCTCGCTATTGTCAAACAAAATCCATTTTTGTCGCAGGTAACAATGCGGTTCGAAGTCCCTTCGTTTGTGTGCCTGTCGAGCAGTGTAAGGCGCGTTTCGACTCGTACTTCGCGCTGACGTACATTAAATTCGTGGAATACCCATTTGTCAAGCTTTTTGCCTTGCCAATTTGACGCAAATGGCCCAATACTGTTTTGATACCAACGTCGAAAACTGCTGCTAATTTAGCTGTAGATTGAGTACCATCAGCTACCTCAATCGCCTTTAATTCGTCATTCTCAACCAAAGCTTTCGGACGACCACGGGGTTCATTTTTCTGGTCGAAATTTCCATAACGGAAACGGGTAAATCAATAAACAGGCGGTGCGTTCGTTCGTAGCACTGGCTCCGAAAACGTTGTTGATGTTGCGTGAAGCTTGTGCCGCGGTGCTGTCACAATGATACTCATTTTACATAACTACTCGAATTTTTAACGTATTCATGATGACGAAAAAAATTCAAATGCGACGAAAAGATAATACTTATCAATAAATTAAACGGCAATTTCATAGGTAAAAACCTATATATATATTTAAAAGTAATTTTTTCAGTTAACATTGGATAACATAAATGTTTACATTGAAATGAGATACAATTTCATTTGATTGATGACCATTAGATTGGAAAAACATTTGAATAATCATTCTACATTTGTTTTTATTGGCGCCTTTATCGCATAAGTGTCAACTTCGCGGACGCGCTCTGCTGATTTACCGCTAAGGTTTTGGTAAAATCCGTTTAAAAACTAAAACAACGGAGACTAGCATTAACTTTTGTTATGGTATTGGTTATACCTTCTCCAACCCGTCTATTCGGCGACGTGGTTACTGTTAGTAACTCTTTACGTAATGCATGCCTATTGGAGCATTTTTGAAAGACTTTGTTCAGCAATTAACTTAAAAAGGTTGTCGGAGAGATGATTTGAGAAGTGTTGGAAAACGTATTTTCAATGTTAAAGTCAAAATATTTTATGTACTATATGTTTATTTAAAACTCTTAAGAAAGTCTATTGTTCCAAAAGTGACCTCTACGAGAGAAGAATCGACATCGACGAATCGAAACTTTGGGGGTTATTGTTTACGTTCCCTCTAAGTGTAAGTAGTACGTAAGGTCTAGGGGGTCTAAGGGTTTACCGTCCCATCGGAGTGAAGGAATAGAGAGTGCCTGTACTTGCGCATACACTTGGGCACCTGTCCTGCGCTGATGGCTAGTCTCCGTTTAGGCCGGCCGCCGTGATCGAAATTCGGTCTGGAGGACATTATTACGTTCGGTGTTTTTTTATTTATTTAAAATGAGGGTTAGTTTCCTACAACTAATTAAAAATCATTGCATTATTATTTAAATTCACATACAATAATCGGCAAACAACTTGAGCAACTATGGTGTTTAGTGCACAGATCTCCTCCGCTGGTTAGTATATGCATAAGTACTCCCTGCGCCATTCGTTTGTCAAATAACACCGTATTATCGTTTAAGCGCATGGTCAAGTTGTTTGTCGGCAGTGGTATGACGTACTTGACGTTGACGTTCTCCTTCTCGTAGACGGTAATGATGTGCGGGGAGAAGTTGACGAGCAGCGCGGGCGCGTGCCCGTCGCGGTACTGGCGCACCGTCACGTACGTGCCGCCCTCGCTCAGCTGCACCTCCACGTGCAGCCCGCCGTACTGCGCGCAACCAAACAGTATCGTCACTGTATAACCTGTGTGCTGTGTGCCTGTGGTACAGGCAGCCCACATTCCCACTTTTCCATTTGGTCAAAAATTATTATTATTTCAGATTTTTTGTTTAAAATCGATTTTAATTACTTAATCAGGTATTTCTAAACCCCTCAGTCGCCAGCTAAAATAATTGACACCACTCGCGCGCTTCGCGTGATGCGGCGTCGCTAAAAATAACCTATCATGGAATTTGACGTATATTTATTTTCAATAAAATTCATTATAAATTTCAATATAATACTTGTTTCTGTTTATTTATTATTATATTTATTACTTGTTTTAGTGGTTTTACTTAATTGCAAAAAGATTTTAATTGTATTTTCATCGTAAAACAAATACATACCCAGCGCTGAACTGCAGCGTGAATATTACAATCATTTCTATATATTACTCGTAATTATTTACGTAAAAAGATAAATTATATTCACAAAAAACTTTTATAACAATTTTATAATAAAACACTATATTGAACACTAATAACACACTAGAACATTCCAAAAATCAACACAATCATCAACATCAACACTGAACGTAGATTATAAATAAATAACCAGAGACTAAGTTTTTATTGCATTAGAGGATAGAAAATTGCATTAGCGGTTTCATGACACCGCTAGGGAATTTACGCAATCGCGCGAGCGGTCTCATGAGACCGTTAGGGGATTGAGCGGCTAAAGCGTGGAATAAATTGATTTTATGATGATGGTATCGTTTACGTGGCGGCGCTATCGCTATAAGCGAAAAGCACCGAAGCCTAAATCGCGCTATGAAAATTCCGAAGCTACATCACTATATATGAGATCAGCTCCTAATTAACACACGGAGCGTTGGCCGCTCCCGGGCTGAACACCTTGCTCGGAAGGAGATTTGCCCTTTCTCTTCCACCACCAAATTGATTTTTATCACGAGATATATTAGACAAAAAGGTCACTAACATTCGAATATATAAACAAATATGCAGATATCCTTCTAATATAGAGAAACTGTAGAATCGGTTATATCACGTTGTGAAGTCCCATATTGAAATTTGGAAAGAAGAAAATTGTGTAATTTTCATTCCATTATGACATCTATCAAATGGGAAGTTAATAATTAAGTGGTGAAGGATGATAATGTTCTCCTGGTCGTGATCGATCCACGGAGACAATTTCCGAACAATCAGAAGTTATCAACTGCATAAATCTTTACACCCGTGTACACAAACACAGAATTACTTTAAGCACAAAATTATTAATTTTCTTCAACTTAGCCAGAAAAAGTCGACGGTTGAACATCTGGCTTCTCCCGTTGCAGAGAGGGTTTGCCTTAATCACCACGCTAAGCAGGTGGATTGGGAACCATAGTAACCAGATGTATTCCTTCTACTATAGTCTGCCACTTTCCGTCACAGGTCGTTATTTATGTCTGAAGTATATGGTATGGTTATTCGACATATTTACTTTTATAATAAACCTTCTCATGCCCGACGTAACGCTTATACAATATTATAATGATGAAAATAGTGCAAAAACATACATCTTTTGTATATTGATTTATTTAAGACCAGTGAACGTAAACACCAGAAAATGAAATTAGTTCCCCGTTCAGCGGCCGTATATATTAGTTAAGTTTCTGGGTATTAAAGTATGTTCGGTGAGAGTTGATAAAAAAAGGGTTTAAGAATTGTCATATCGTCGACTTTTCCTTCACTTTTCCATCAGCAATGAAGTTCTATGTGTTAATTTAATTTCTCATTCAGGTCACAATGCGCGCTTAGATTCCTTTAAGTAACACTTCCATGTTTTATTTACGTTCTCTGCTTAAAACGCAATATAAAGAATTCTCATAAATTCAATAATATGTAAGTATATTTAGACTAAAATTTTAAATTTCATGAATAGGTCGAAACTTTAACATACCAAAGTTATTATTATATACATAACACTAATCTCACGGCAATAAAAATAACTTTTACCTCGTTATTAAGCTTCAAACACACAGTGTGCTGCTCAGTATAGAGGAAAGGAGCGGCGTGTTCCGTAGAGCCGGCGACTCGCAGCAGCAACAGTTTGTCCTCTTTCTCCACCACCGGCCACAGGGGCGAACTCGAGTTTTGCTCGACCTTAGAGACAACACGCACAATATTAATATTGTTCAGCCCATCGCGTGTCCATTGTTGAACATAAAATCCACTCAAAGAACTTGTTTTGAATTTTGAATATGTTAGCCAACATATTCAAAATCCAAAATTTGTCGTCTTTATAGGTTTTTAGTACTTTTATTGCATAATCTGGGCCAGTCCATATGGCAAGCACGCAGACATTTTTATTTCCTTTTTTTCCAGAGATAGGATATTTCTTTTTTTAGGTTAAGTTATACATTGATACTTGTATTTATTTTTCCCCATTCGGACTGGTAAGAAAGCTCAGCTACAATCAAAATAACTATTGGTATCTGGTATAATAATAATGTACGAACTTTATACTAATTGAAATATACTGTACTAAAGTAAATATTTCCAACGATTGAATTTGCGGGCAACGATTGAAGATGGTCTAGCACAAAATAGCAACTCCACGGCTAGGGTTGCCAGGTCTTAAGACCGAAAAGCATATATATATATATATATATATATATATATATATATATATATATATATATATATATATAATTTCTGCTAAAATATATGATCGTTATAATTCTGAAATATGAGAATGTTTCCATGTGATAGATTGAGATTTCCCTATTTTCGAATCCCATAACAACATGTCTGTCATAATGTCTCGATGTTACAACTTGTACACCATGGGACGAAAAGCTAGTGTGTATTATCTGTAAGCTATCAGTAACCGGAATTATGATATATAAATAGTTTTACATTCAATAAAATATTTCTTTGTTTCAGTGATATAATTGTACAGTACAGTGTATATAATAACAAAATAAAAATAATACAATGAAAGTTGATAATCTTACAAAATGAATTAAAAATACAAAATACTTACCTCTCTCCAAGGATCGCCAGGTCTATGTAACTCTTGGTACTGAATGGCGAAGGGTGCTTCGTTAATGATTAAGAAGAATGGTGTAAATATCACCATCTTCGTCAAACTATTAAAAGTCAACTGATTTGTAACTGCCACCTGCAAAAATAATAATATTTAAAAAAATATATTTTTAAAATAATACTTTCGAAATACATGTGTTGAAAAATCAGCAAATTTCCTTAAAGTGTTTTAGCTAAATTATAATTACATACTTGGTATGTTCTTTCTTCATTCTTGCATATGACAACGCCAGAACTGCCAGGCACATCAAGAGAGAACTTGTCAGACCATTCCCCAAACTCCACTCTAATGGCCGCCTTTTTCTTACCGAAGAAATTCTTAGCTCGAAACGAAAATAATATTGGATCTTTATAATCCTTAGGGTGAAAGATTACATTGCCTGTTTCTTCTGCGCTCTAAAATAAGAAAAAAAAACATGTTGAATAAATAATCGACAATATACGAATAGGATAATGAAAAGGGGGTTCTCATCTTACTTATAACTATCAAATTAATAAGAATTACTGAATGGGAAGGAACTGACTCCTGAAATAAATCATAGTTTGGGAGTCAGGGTTCAATGAAGTTGTATTGAAACAGAAGTGCCAAATAAAGGTATTTATTATTATTCAATTTTAACGACTAAATAACTCATTACATTCATATTGTGTAGTAGAAGATTAAAGACTAATTATATTATTACGTGTCTCATCCGACACTATTCTGATGATACCCCGGACGCCAGTCTGAACGAGGTTAGAATGCCTATCCAGCACCTTAAAAATGGCAGGGCCTACGTTGAGGATAGAGATACAGCGAAGCCTCTGAGAGGGGGTGGCAAACCGGTAGTTAAATCCTTCAGCTCTTCAAGAAAGTCGACAATGCTCTATTGAAGAACTACTAACCGATTTCTCTTATAAACCGCGTCTACGTGCTGTTTTTGAGTCATTACGAATCGTCTGGCACGCACTTCCTGCAGCCTCCCGAACAAGCCGCTTTCCAAATAGAACTCATACATACACTTCGACGACAAATTGTCAGAAGCCCGAAGAATATAATCTGCCACTTAGCCTTGCGTATGTGGACTATGAGAAAACCTTTAATTCCTTCGAAATTTGAGCGCTGCTACTGTTCCTCAGCGTTGCAAAGTTAAAATTAATATGAATCTGAGACCTGGTCCTTTGTTACCAGCCGTATGAAGAAACTCAGATCCGCTCAGCGAGCTATGGAGAGTGCTGTGCTCGCAGTTTCTTTGCGTGATAGACTTTGTAATGAGAAGAACATTTATACTAGCACCAGAGTAACCGACATAGTCTTAGATAAATAAATAAATATCACTTTATTGCCATTTTTAAAATACATGTTTACATATAAACGAATTACTTAACCTTAATTTAATTTAGGCAAACGGAGGTGACTCAGCTTTTGCTTACATGGAACTAGATCCCATGAAGCGCTGGTTTTTAGTCACCCCTTCTTCCCTGAGATGTTACATGGGTCTTATGAGAATTCAGTCTTACAGATCACTAAGCATAAGCCAGCCATATAGCTCGAAGAACGGATAACTAATGGAGAAGAAGAGTTCTCGGCAGTCCGTGCTTTGTGGCATGGTCCGCGTCCAAGGGCCGTGCCTTGGGGGTGGAACAGGTTGAGCAGTAGACTAACACTTAGCACTATTTCCAGACAAATGGTCGACATTTCAGGCCCTAAAATGTAACTCGATATAGCCTACTTTCTGTTAATAATTATGCTGCCATGCAATGCCATCAACCATTCACCTAGTCTGTCAACGCTCACAAGGGTGGTCTTGAGGTACACTGTTCATGTCCATCATAGACGCTCTTTCGTAAGGAGCTGAGCTTTTATATGACATACCAATTCATAAAGGATCATGCATTCAAGTCAATCGTAGCTAGACAAAAAAAATTTAACTTGTCAATTAAGCTCTAACACGTAGTTTGCTTGTCATCGCATCAATGAATATAAGTATACGATCGTGCATGCATGTCATATCGTTAAAACAATTTAGTCATGTTGTTAATTTTTTTTTTGTTTGCATGCAACATGCATCATGCACAATTTATAACACTTAGAAAATAATATATTTAATGTTAGGGTTAGTATAACGAGCTTTTTGTCACACCATCCCGTCATAATATAGTGTAGCCGTAAAGACACTTAATCTTTCTATTCCTATTTGATTCTAAGACAGACAGTTAATCTGACTATTTCAATTTAATTCTAACACAAACAAAAGGTTTGTTTATTGTAAAAATTCACCGAAAGAAATTCAACTATAATACATTTAAAATTTGATCATTTTTACCACGTTAACTCAACTCACTAGCTCAACAGGAAGTTAGTATAAAATTAATTGCAAACGTTGTACCGACCAGATAAACAAACAAACAGACAACCCAGAAAGTAAATTTATATTGCATTGTTATCCAGTTCTGAGCAATATTTGAAGTTTCAAGTTTCTAGCTCATTGGAAAGTTTCTTTTAAAATTCATTCTTAAATTTATACCGAACAAACGAATAGAGAAAAAATAGAGTTAATAAAATCGTGGTAAAATGGTGTATACGTACTAGTGCATGAAATAAAATTAGCGCTAAAATGGTGTTTGCACTCACCGAGCACGACGCGTGGCGTTTTAAAAATTCACTGCAACGTGAACGTGCAATCTGTCAAAAAAACTAAAATTGTTATAGCAGAGTCTAATGAGTGCATTCACCAAACAACTAACCTCACCTTGATTGTATCGAAACCTGATCTGGTAATCAGAATTACTCTAAAATAATGCTCTATTTCTAGTGCACCATGCCATGTAAAACCTCGTTTTGTAACAATGTGCCATTTCGATACCTGTGTTTTTTCTTGTCATTGATTGTATTTTAATACTACTTTTACTTTTAAAATCAACAAAGAGCAATTTTTACCTTTTTTGCATTTTTGCCAACACTCAACTAATAAATTCTGTACAATTTGCAGTAACAAAGCCAGATTTACCGTAAAACTGGGTATTCTTCTAACGCATTTCTTACTTGATTAATATAAAATATTGCCAAAAAAACAAATAGTATCAAGATAGCACAAATTTGATAATGGAATACTACAAAGCATACTAGAAAAAAATGTTGTAATTAAATTTGAAACCAAAAAAACCTTAAAACATCTTAATATAGATGATTTTCGTTAATAGGGATTAAAACAAAGCATGAAGCAAATTGCAATTAAAACTATTATAAACGAAAAATGAAATGCCAAAATAAAATATAAAAAATACGTTTAGAGCATTTTAAAGCATCTCAAAGATACCTTGCTGGGTGAGCTGGAGTCTTTTTCTGGTTTCTTTGATTTCTGTAACCACGGATTTTTTGAACCAATTAAACAAACATATTTCTACTTTAATAAAAATACAGATGAAACAAACAAAATGCCATGTTTTAAGTTTAAACATACACGAGAGACTGATAAAGTTAGTATGTATAACTTTGGAAACTGATAAATTGAATCAATCACAATTACCTGCATTCCTCAGACAAAAATTATTGCATTATAAAAAATATTAAGATTAATAATACCACTACTTAAATGACAATAATATAAATCATTCAAAATCATAAAATATTAAATGAACTATAAAAAATATAAATACGTCCATATTTACAACAGGATTCTTCTTTTTAAATTTACAACTAGCGATCTGCCCCAGCTTCGCACAGGTGATATCTGAATCTCGACAATAGCGCCGCCCGGTCCAATTATAGATTAGAACCATCCAAGTGACCTCATTAGTACCCCATAAAGATTTTATCAAAATCGGTCTAGTTTAAAACAGAAGAATAACGAACCCAAGCACACCGGAATTTTATAATTAAAAATAATAGGTATTTACCTGCAGTAACTGGCCATTTCAAATCAAAATATTTTTTGTTTGACTAAGAATTCTAATTTCAAATTAAATTTATTTTAGAATTCTTTTCTCAAAATTAGTCATTTTAATTATGGATTAGCGTTATGGTTTCATCGCATATGAATATTTTTCTTCATCATGGATAAGTTAAAAATTTGAGTAATTATGGAATATGAGTACCGTCGTGGCCATAGCAAATTTCGTATATTGGAATATATAATTAAAGTGAAATAATCCATACTTTACTTACTCTATAGCACAATGTAAAACCAGTTTTGTTCAGCATCCAGAATGGGCAGTACAATGAGAGTACTTGTGTTCCCTCCATGTCCACACTGTGCATGCCCAAGTCCAACGTCATTACCGCGGGGCTGTCGTGGGACTCAAACGACCACACAGATAATTCAGTTTCCTCATCTGGGAGATTTTTTGTACATACCCAACATTTGTCGAGATAACTTTGTATCTGAAATAAGGAATGCAATAGAATTACTGTCGCATTACAAGGTGATTGATTACCTTAAAATATATTTTCTTTCGAGTAAAATTGCTTTGTGATAGCACCATCTATTTCATTCTATAGGTAAAGTATATTTTCTTTCGAGTGAAATTGCTTTGTGATAGCACCATCTATTTCATTCTATAGGTAAAGTATATTTTCTTTCGAGTAAAATTGCTTTGTGATAGCACCATCTATTTCATTCTATAAGTAAAGTCGAACAGACACTAGATAGCCTGAAGTTATTAAATCGTGGATTGTTATAAACGGACTGGTATAATAAAATAATTTTATTCAATATGGTTATTTCTTTATTTTTTTCGAATGTATACGTATCGTATTTTTTATATGAGAGGGGGCAAAGGAGCATACGGCTCACCTGATGGTAAGTGATTACCGCTGCCCAAGAACAGCTGCAACCCCAGAGGGATTGCAGATGCGTTGCTGGCCTTTTAAAAAGGAATACGCTCTTTTCTTGAAGGTCCCTAAGACGTACCGGTCCGGAAAAATCTCTAGTGGTAGTTGATTCCACAAAAAAGATGTGCGAGGAAGAAAACTTCTTTTAAATCGCTTAGAGGTGGCTTTTAAACCGCCAGTCATCCAGATGGTATAGATGGTATCGCGAGTTTTGTCGCGATGTGCGATGGTGAAACTGTACGGCTGGAAGTAGTCCGAACAATTCCCCAGACCACTCCCCGTGGTAGATGTGATATAATACGAAAAGAGATGCAACATCTTTTCGCAGTGCCAGTAAGTCAAACCGATCTGAAAGAGCTCGGTCGCCGACGCTTCGAACTGCTCTGCGCTGGATGCGATTAAATGGAAGGGGCTGGCACTGGGGAGCCCCGGCCCAGAGATGGTAACAGTATTCCATGTGCGGCCGAACCTGCGCCTTGT